CATCATCCATGGCAAGTGTTGTCCAGATCCATTGTTGGTTGGGTTCACAGTGCTCTCTTGATTTAGGTGAACTACAACTCCTATAAATTATGGTGAATTCTTCCCAAACCTCTTGTTCAGGTGCTGATCAATTTCTGTTTGCTGTGTGCCATAGGAAACTGTAGGAAAGGGTTAAGGGAGAGGCAGTGGGTGGGGCCAGAGTAAAGAACCCTGGGATGTCCATTCTGGAGATGTCCATTCTGGACGAAAAATAGAATATCTAGGATGAAATTGTCCCCGAATGAAAGCCTTCACTTGGGTGGCGGGCAGTATGGTATTTGGGAAGGACACTGGCAGGGGTTGGGCTACATGTTCACGGCGCCCGCTGTAACCTGAAATGTCCTTGGAGGGAGGGCCATTGATGGCTCTTCGGCACTGTTGGTTAAAGCTGTTTGTGGAGGTGGGAGGCTGTCTGTGTAAGTGGACACCTCTGCCACATACACAAATACACATTTTCACTTTTATCATGTGTATAGATAGATAGGTTATATATTATCATCCTTTGAAATTGGAGATATTGTTATATCTTCATCATCCTTTGGGTTTTGGGATGTGTATTATTATTCTATATCATCCTTTGGGGGGTTTTGGGATTTGTAGTGCCACATAACTGGGATCCTCCAGAGAGGCTGAGAGTTCGAAGGAGGGCACTGGATGATTCAGAAATAATGGTATTCCCAAATCCTTCATTTTGAAGGAAAACTGAGCAAGAGAGCAGCAGGGCCAGAGAGTTTAACTGGTCCTCCCAGTTTTATGGAAAGCTGCATTTAGTTGCACATCAGAAATTTTTCCTTGCTGTGCCAATTGGTTGGGGGGCATTGGTTAGGATACAAGGTACAGGCCATCGCCAAGTTATGAACAAGGTAGGTTCTGCAGATTTGTTTTTAAGTTGAATTTGTTTGTAAGTTGGAACAGGTATATAAATATAAATGTGTGTGTAGCTTTCGATTACATAGGGACGGGTTAACACCCCTGAGGTTTTTGGGTTTTTTTTGCTGTCTGTGCCCCTGTGTGGAAGATTTCACCTCACTTTGTGTTCCTGTGATCATAGAATTTTGAAAAATATGGCTTGTGGAAACAAGTATTGGTGCTAAAGCTTCAGTGGAGACTCCTTTTCTCTACCAGGAGTGGATTTCCCTTCTGAGGTGTTGATTTTTTTCACTTCCTGTTGTCTCAGCCCCGTTCTTAACTATGAGTTGTTTGTAAGTCTGATGTTTGTAACTCGAGGACAATCTATACACAGTTCAGAACAGGAAACTTGATTTCAAGAACTGTCAGGAGGACAAGTCTGTTGTAGGCAGAAGTGCAATGGCCAAATGACAAAGAGTGCACTTTTTTGCATCCAGCATCAAATCTTTTTTTGGTTTCATGAGTTTGAAAATTGAGGTACACATAAGATTCGATGGTGCATTCAACTCGAGCCAATACGGCAGTGTTTCTGAACCTGGGGGTCGGGACCCTTGGGGGGTCACGAAGGGGGTGTCAGAGGGGTCACCAAAGACCATCAGATAACACAGTATTTTCTGTTGGTCATGAGGGTTCTTTGTGGGAAGTTCGGCCCAATTCTATCATTGATGGGGTTCTGAATGCTCTTTGATTGTAGGTGAACTATAAATCCCAGTAACTACAACTCCCAAATGTCTAGGTCTATTTTCCCCAAACTCCATCAGTGTTCACATTTGGGTATATTGAGTATTTGTGCCAAGTTTGGTCCAGATCCATCATTGTTTGAGTCCACAGTGCTCTCTGGATGTAGGTGAACTACAACTTTAGAACTCAAGGTCAGCATCCACCAAAGCCTTCCAGTATTTTCTGTTGGTCATGGGAGTTCTGTGTGTGCCAAGTTTGGTTCCATTCCATCATTGGTGGAGTTCAGAATGCTCTTTGATTGTAGGTGAACTATAAATCCCAGCAACTACAACTCCCAAAAGACAAAATCATTCCCCCCTCCCAACCCCACCAGTATTCAAATTTGAGTGTACCGGGTATTTGTGCCAAATTTGGTCCAATGAATGAAAATACATCCTGCATATCAGGTGTTTACATTACGATTCATAAGAGTAGCAAAAGTACAGTTGTGAAGTAGCAACAAAAATAATTCTATGGTTGGGGGCCACCACAACATGAGGAACTGTATTAAGGGGTCGCAGCATTAGGAAGGTTGAGAACCTGCAATACGCGATGTATCTATCTGGATTTGAGGGAAACTTGCAGCAAATCCCTTCCTTAGAATGTGTCTTTCCTTCTTGAGAGCTGTCTTGAGTCTTTCTTGGTGGGCATGGCCTCTTTGATTATGATAACTTTAGAGATGACTTTGCTAAGAAGCTTTTATCCCTCTTGGTTTGAATAGAAGCAAAGGTTTTGCATCACCGTTCCTGGAGACCAGGATGCCTTGCTCAGCCACTATGTGGTGACTGCTTGCTGTCAATAACCTCATTCTCCCTGGCCTCCCCGCTAACAGGTTTTCTTCTCATCCCTCCCTCTGTGGACTGTTTTATATGGAAGCGTTTATGCTATCATGAATTGGCAAAGTGCTGCAAGATCATTTGATATTTTGGGTGCCAGACAGTGGTTCAGATATGTCTTGGTTTTGCAATCCGTGTAGATGTTCTCTTTGCATACACTTTTAGCACTTTTAAAAAGCAAGAGAGGCCTGGGCAGAATGTTTTCTTCTTATCAGTGAAGCGTGTTGCTCTGGCAGGAATCAAAAGGAAGAAACGCAAGGTATTGCAGTTGCTGCAGGAAAATGTGTGTGTAATAAACCACTGCTTTAACTCCCCAGTTTGTTGGTTAAAACGGTGCCGAAAGTGGCCATTCTTGTTCTCAATCAGGGGCTTTCCACGTCGTGAGTTCTTAGCCCACTTAGGGCTTTGCTTTCTCCAGTTATCCTTGCACCTGGCTTTGATAAAGAATAGAAAAGTGAAAGAGTTTGTAGCTTGTGAAGATGGAAAGACATACGCACAGCATGGAGTGCTACCTAAAGATATAGATGTTTGCCGCTTAAGGTCATGACAGCCGCAGGAGGTTATAGAAAGACAGAGAAGATCAATAGGACTTTTCAGAGTTGCCCTTGGACTCTGGAACTTCTGCAGTCGTCTTATTGGATATCTCCAGGAAGGCTTTTGAGACCTCTTTGGTTTTACCGTTTTCGCCGTAGCTTGAAATATGATCACTTTATGAGTTTCTTGTTTTTATTGGATACTACATTTTGTGCTCTATTTGTATGCTGAAAATGGCCTGATAGTAATACGAAAGAAAATAGAGAATGACAGTCAAAAAGAAATAAGGCCAGTATGGGGAGCAGGCAGGCATAAAGGTTATAGAGGAAGAATGAACTATTAAAATACTTAGATTATTGGGGAAGACTTTCTTAAAAGCCCATGGCAGTCCCCAGGTTATGAACAAGATAGGTTCTTTAGGTTGGTGGGCTTCTGTGAGTTTTTCTGACTGTATGGCCATGTTCCAGAAGCATTCTCTCCTGGCGTTTCACCCACATCTATGGCAGGCATCCTCGGAGGTTAAGAGGTCTGTTGGGAACTAGGCAAGTGAGGTTTATATATCTGTGGAATGTCCAGGGTGGGAGAAAGAACTTTTGTCTTCTTGAAGCAAGTGTGAATATTGTAATTGACCACCTTGATTAGCATTTAATGGCCTTGCAGCTTCAAAGCCTGGCTGCTTCCTGTCTGGGGGAATCCTTTGTTGGGAGGTGTTAGCTGGCCCTGATTGATTCTTGTCTGGAATTCCCATGGTTTTTTTAGTGTTGCTCTTTATAGTCATGATTTTGTTCATTTTCATAGTTTCCTCCTTTCTGTTGAAATTGTCCACATGCTTGTGTATTTCATTGGCTTCTCTGTGTAGTCTGACATGGTAGTTGTTAGAGTGGTCTGGCATTCCTGTGTTCTCAGGTAATATGCCGTGTCCAGGTTGGCTCATCCAATGCTCTGCTATGCCTGACTTCTGTATATATCTATAAATGTTAGTTTTGGGGAACATAGAAAAGGGTTAACACCCTTTTTGCCACCTATGCCCCTGATCAGAAGATTTCACCTAACTTTTTGTCCCTGTGATAATTGTTTTGAAAGATGTAGATTGTTGTGGAAACAAGGATTGGAGAACAAACTTCAGTGGAGATACCTTTTCCCCAGGGTAATATCCATATTTACGCGAGTATAAATATAAGCGGAGGCACCTAATTTTACCACAAAATCTGGGGAAACATATTGACTCGAGTATAAGCTGAGGGTGGAAAATGCAGCAGCAACTGGTAAATTTCAAAATAAATATAGGTACCAATAAAATTACATTAATTGAGGCGTCAGTACGTTAAATGTTTTTGAATATTTACATAAAACTGTAATTTAAGATAAGACTGTCCAACTCTGATTATGCTATTTTAACCTTCTTCAGTGTAAATGTGCTTATGTATCCTTTCAATAATAAAGAGAGTTAAAAATAAATGTAATAATAATAACAGACTAAAATAATAAATGTAATAATAAAATAAAATAATAATAGAGTAAAATAATAAAAATGTAATATAATAATAAATAGAGTAAAATACTAAATAACTTTGACTCGAGTATAAGCTGGCGGGGTGGGGGGTTCAGCCTTAAAAAAGGGGGTGAAAAACGCAGCTCATATTCGAGTATATATAGTAACTCTTTCAGGAGCGAATTTCCCTTCCGAGGTATAGATTCCTCTCACTTCCTGTTGTCTTATCCCCATTTTTAATGAGGAGCCATATGTAAGTTGCATGTTTGTAACTCAGGGACTGGCCTGTATTTAGATTGTTAGGAACTACTTTATTAAAAGGCCACTTGGTAGGCCAAGTCTAACTTCTTACACTCCCTGGGAATTTTTCAAACAAAGTTACCTGTGTCTCAGAATAGATTGAGAAAGCTAAAGTTGTGCTAAGTGGCTCCTTGGACCCAATGCCTGACTGAGAAACCTGTTTCTTTCAGGTCAACGGGCCGGATGGCATCCTCCAGAACGGGGCTGTGGATGACAGTGTACCGAAGACCAGCCAGCTCCTTGCCGAGCTCAACTTTGAGGAGGATGAAGAGGATACCTACTACACCAAGGACCTCCCTGTGCATGCCTGCAGGTAAGGCGCCTGGGCCTCTGGTCATAATACAAAACACAAAGCACACACTCTCTGAGTGCAAGGGGACTAAGAGATCGGTATCTCATGCAGTTTCACAGCTGACAAAGCCTAGAACTGTAATGTAATTATTGAATGTAATGTAATGTTTTTAAACATTTTAAATACTTAATATCTATTAATTTAAATTTAATTTTAATGTTACTGGAATTGTATGTGTTTTAAGCCATTGAATAATTGCCTATATGTAAGCCGCCTTAAGTCTGCTTTGAGGTAGAGAAAGGCAGGGTATAAATGGGGTAAATAATAAATAATAATAAATAGCACTGTCAACCACACACCTCTAGGGTGTCTTTATCTTTAAGGCCCGGCCGGTTTAGGATCTTTGACAGGCAATGCTGTATCAAAGACCATTGAGATGCTGTAGTGTTCAGGGTTTGATATACTCAAGCAGCATTCCCTTCCCACGATTGAGTTGCTGCTTGCATTACAGTGGCATATAAAGCAGAGCTGGGCCTTTTTCCTCATGCAGAAGTGGAGAACATAAAGCAGCCGCAGAACGGTTTTCTGTAGCGATTTGATGGAAAGTACCAGGGGAAATCTACTTTTTGTAGGGCCAGGCTTATCACAGCTGGTTAATCACCAACAGCAATAGATCATACCAATTGAAAGGTTGGCAGTTCGAAGCCTGGGTCGGGGTGAGCACCCGACCTTCAGTCCAGCTTACTGTCCACCTAAGCACTTCGAAAACAGTTGTGAGGTGAGAAAATAGGCACCTCTTAAGCAGGGAGGTATTTTACGGCACCATAAAAGAAATAGCAGAAAATGCCAGCGATCAAAGAAAGGAGGAAGTCTGTGATCAAGGGCTCTTCATCATAGAGGATAGAGTGACAGCACCCCACTGTGGCTAGAATTGAGCACAACCTCCAGGAAAATGCTGACATATGCCTCTATTGTCTGGCCTATCTATTTAATGGCATTGAATGCTGTGTATGTGTTCTGTGGTCTGCCCTGAGTCCCCTTCGGGGTGAGAAGGGCAGAATATAAATGCTGCAAATAAATAAATAAATAAATAAATGACTCAAAGCAAAACTTGGCCTAATGGGGTTCTTCTCTCTGTGTGGTTTCCTCTTTAGCTACTGCGGCATCCATGATCCAGCCTGTGTGGTCTACTGTAATACCAGCAAAAAGTGGTTCTGCAATGGACGCGGGAATACCTCTGGCAGGTAGGCCTTTGGCAGATGTAGTCTGTGGTCAGCCTTCCCTAACCTGGTGTCCTAGGCTGGGAGTTATAGTTCAGCCTAGCAGGGAAATACATGGCTTGTTCTCCGCATGAAACTCCATTTCAAAGAGAAATTCCTTTCCAAGGAAAATGGTTGACCTATGGAGGCTTGTTAAATGTGGCAAAAGCATCTATGTAGATTAAAGACAAGCAAGGGGTTAACCATGGATGGTTTTAATATGCGGTTGTTTTCTCAGAGGCAAATGGCGGAATGATATCAGATGGCTAAAAATGTATTTACATTTGCAACACTTAAAGCAGACTTTGAAAGGGGAAATGACTTATTTGATAGCCACAATCTCTAAAATACGAAATAGGGGAAGAAGAGGTGAAGGACTGGTGCCAAACATAGAAGAGGTGGAGGATTGGTGCCAAACTGCGTGAAAGCAGTTGGTTTTACCCAGCATTCACCTTTCTTCTCTCCTTTCCGTCAGCCACATCGTGAACCACCTGGTGCGAGCCAAGTGCAAAGAGGTGACTCTCCACAAGGACGGTCCTCTGGGTGAGACAGTCCTGGAGTGCTACAACTGTGGCTGCCGCAATGTCTTCCTGCTGGGCTTCATCCCGGCCAAAGCCGACTCTGTGGTCGTCTTGCTGTGCAGGTAAGAGTACCTCCTTCCTTCAGTAGAGCCTCCAGGCAAATCTCCAGGCAATGTTCTTGCGCCTGCAATGGTCTGAAGTGCTTCTTTTCTGGCCCCTTTGGCTGTGCAGGCAACCTTGTGCAAGTCAGAGCAGCCTGAAGGACATCAACTGGGACAGCTCTCAGTGGCAGCCTCTGATTCAAGACCGCTGCTTCCTTTCCTGGCTGGTCAAGATCCCTTCAGAGCAAGAGCAGCTCAGGGCCCGGCAGATCACCGCCCAGCAAATCAACAAGCTGGAAGAGCTGTGGAAGGTGAGTGAGGGAGAGAGTCAAGGAGTGTTGAGGAGGAGGCAACAAGTCCTAAAGCAGAACTATGTGCCTGGGGTGGTATTGGGCTCAGGGTTTGGATTCCTGATAGGTTTCTCGGCCCTGAGGCTTTGGGCATGGGAGGTGGCCTCCCTGGAGGGGAAGAAGTGGTTGCGAAAGAGTTCCAGTTAGAAAGCTCCTTCCCCATGAGGTGTTGTGCGGTTTCCAGGCTGTGTGGCTGTGTTCTAGCAGCATTTTCTCTTGATGTTTCACCTGCATCTGTGGCTGGATTTTTTTTGTAAATAATTTTTATTGGTTACATATTTACAGTATCTTAATAAAGGGGGGGGGGAGCAAAGAGGGAAAGTGGGAATAGAAAGAGGGAATAGTATGAACAGACTGATAGGTAAAAGAAAAGAAAAACAAAAAATAACAATAATTTAAATATTTATTTACTATATTTATATCCCACCTTTCTCGACCCCAAAGGGGACTCAAGGTGGCTTACAGCAGAGGCAATAATTTAATGCCTTAAACAATTCAACAGTTAGATAAACATTCAGTTAAAATGAGGTTAAAAGCAATTAAAACATAAATATTACCATTTACAACTATAAAATCATGATTATTATTGCTTGTTAAAAGTCTTTTTTATATTATACTAGCCGTCCCCTGCCACACGTTGCTGTGGCCCACTCTGGTGGTCATGGGGGTTCTGTGTGGGAGGTTTGGCCCAATTCTATCATTGGTAGGGTTCAGAGTGCTCTGTGATTGTAGGTGAACTATAAATCCCAGCAAGTACAACTCCCAAATGTCAAGATTCTATTTTCCCCAAACTCCACCAATGTATACATTTGGGCATATGGAGTATTCGTGTAGAGTTTGGTCCAGATCCATCATTGTTTGAGTCCACAGTGATCTCTAGATGTAGGTGAACTATAACTCCAAAACCAAAGGACACTGCCCACCAAACCCTTCCAATATTTTCTGTTGGTCATGAGAGAACTGTGTGCCAAGACTGGTTCAATTCCGTTGTTGCTGAAGTTCAGAATGCTCTTTGTTTGTAGGTGAACTATAACTCCCAGCAACTACAACTCCCAAGTGTCAAGGCTATTTTCCCCAAACTCCACCAGTGTTCACATTTGAGCTTACTGAATATTTGTGCCAAGTTTGGTCCAGATCCATCATTGTTTGAGTCCACAGTACTCTCTGGATGTAGGTGAACTTCAACTCCCAAAGTCAATGTCCACCAAACGCTGCTAGTATTTTCTGTTGGTCATGGGAGGCCTGTGTGCCAAGTTTGGTTCAATTCCATCGTTGGTGGAGTTCAGAATGCTCTTTGATTGTAGGTGAACTATAAATCCCAGCAACTACAACTCCCAAATGACAAAATCATAATTTTTGGTCATAATCCTTGTGTTGTGAAATGTTTTGTTGCCAAATTTTGTGCTATTTCGTTCATTGGTTCTTTTGTTTTTAAGGTACTCATTATGCACAGAGCATTTATATATATATAGATGTGCCTTTTGAAAGTTCTATTGTTGCCATGTTCTCTTTCTCTCTCCCTCGGGAAAGCCTTCCCCCCACTGTGGATCAATTTCTTTCACTTCAATTACTTTTTGTTTGTGTTCGCTCCTCCCCCTTCCTTCTTCATATTTTTAACATGTGCACTAGTCATCTTTTTTGCCAAAACCCCAGCCAGAGCTTCACCTCACCTTTGTTTGGGTTTGCTTTGCCCTGTGGTCACCTTTCCCAGGTCTTTGAGCCACTCCCCCTTGAGGGGAGAGGTCTCTTTGACCATTGGTTATGCCCCCTTTGGGTTTGGCTGTCTCTCCCAACTCAGTCCATCAGAGAGAGGGAGCTATGTGCTCTACCCAACCTGTTAATAAGGTTGGCACTCAGCTCTCAGTGTGCCATGCCAACTGCCATGGCACTCCACCAGAAGTCTGTCATCTTGAGAGGATCTTGACCACAGTTGGAGGTGAAACGTCAGGAGAAAATGCTTCTAGAACATGACCACATAGCCTGGAAACCACACAACATGTGATTTCAGCTGGGAAAGCCTTTGACAGCTCCTTGCCCTTCTCCTTGGGTTGTACAGCTGACTTCACAGGGCTTTCTGGATGTGGATGGACTAAAATTCCGATTGTCCAGGGTCAATTCTGATGAACTACAACTACCGATGTGGCGGCAAAAAAAGCCACATGTGGCGATGTGGCCGATGTGGCGGCAAAAAAAGCCAATGGGATTTTGGCCTGCAGCAATAGGAGCATAGTGTCTAGATCTAGGGAAGTAATGCTACCCCTCTATTCCGCTTTGGTTAGACCACACCTGGAATATTGTGTCCAATTCTGGGCACCACAATTCAAGAGAGATATTGACAAGCTGGAATGTGTCCAGAGGAGGGTGACTAATGATCAAGGGTCTGGAGAACAAGCCCTATGAGGAGCGGCTTAAGAGCTGGGCATGTTTAGCCTGAAGAAGAGAAGGCTGAGAGGAGACATGATAGCCATGTATAAATATGTGAGAGGAAGTCACAGGGAGGAGGGAGCAAGCTTGTTTTCTGCTTCCCTGGAGACTAGGACAGGGAAAAATGGCTTCAAATTACAAGAAAGGAGATTCCATCTGAACATGAGGAAGAACTTCCTGACTGTGAGAGCCGTTCAGCAGTGGAACTCTCTGCCCCGGAGTGTGGTGGAGGCTCCTTCTTTAGAAGCTTTTAAACAGAGGCTGGATGGCCATCTGTCAGGGGTGATTTGAATGCAATATTCCTGCTTCTTGGCAGGGGGTTGGACTGGATGGCCCATGCGGTCTCTTCCAACTCTTTAATTCTATGATTCTATGCTTCTACCAGCATCTTCTTGCATTGCCCCCAAACCCCGCCAGTATTTAAAGTTAGTCAGGATGGGTCTGTGTGCCAGTTTTGGTCTGTATCCGTCGTTGGTGAGGTTTGTAGTCCTCTTTGGATGTTGGCGTACTTTAACTCCTATTATTCTCTGTCATTCCCCCCAACCCTGGCAGTATTTAAACTGTGTGCCAAGTTTGGTCCAGATCCTCCAGTGGTGGGAGTCGTGGGGCTCTCTGGATGCAGGATAAGGGAGGTTTGCTTTGTCCCTCTCTCCTGATCCCTATCTTCTGTTTCCTCACAGGAGAACCCGTCTGCCACCCTCGAAGACTTGGAGAAGCCTGGCGTCGACGAGGAGCCACAGCACGTCCTGCTCCGCTATGAGGACGCCTATCAGTACCAGAACATCTTTGGGCCACTGGTGAAACTCGAGGCGGACTACGACAAGAAGCTGAAAGAGTCTCAGGTCAGCTGTACTGTACTTTATCATTGTGAGCCTCTTCTTCCCATATGGGCTTAAACCTCAGATGAGAGTCTGTAGCTTGAAGATGCAAACCTTTTAAGAAGAACTTGTACTGCCTTTGGCTTCATCTTGCCCACTTGTCAGGATAGACTCTTTTCCCCCTTTTAGACCCAAGACAACATCACTGTGAGGTGGGATTTGGGTCTGAACAAGAAGAGGATTGCCTACTTCACTTTGCCGAAGACAGATTCAGGTCAGAATTCATTATTTTGGTTGCAAGACTGTTTGGAACGGCTCTGCCAATGTCCTAAACATGTGAATGTGCCTCTGTCTCCTCTGCAGATATGCGTCTGATGCAGGGAGATGAGATCTGCCTGAGGTACAAGGGGGACTTGGCCCCACTCTGGAAAGGGATTGGCCACGTGATCAAAGTTCCTGATAGTATCCTTTGGGGTTTGAAAGATGGAGGATCGGGGCTGACCTGTCCATCGCTTAGTAGGTTCAAATAAACTTCCAAAGCTGTCCTAAAACTCTGGAACGACCTGCCGGAAGAACTTTGGCAGTGAAAGTGAAATGTAAGAGATGATAGAAGAACTCTCTCTTCCGGCAAGAGGCCCGTCCAGTCAGTTCTAGAGTCATGTCCTGTGTCTTTTAATCTTTGTTCTGGGTATTTTAATATGTGTATTTTTTGTGGAAATAGATTTTAAGGTATGTTTTTGCTGAATGCTTTGTGAGAATGATTCTATGATCATTGATTATTACTACCGAGGTCAACAGAGCTCTTAAAAGTGGTGCGAGTTTATTTTCCCCTTCCCCAGAGACATTACTACTTAACTAGGTTTCGAAGATTACGGCGACGAGATTGCCATTGAGCTGCGGAGCAGCGTGGGGGCCCCCGTGGAGGTGACCCACAACTTCCAGGTGGACTTTGTGTGGAAGTCAACCTCCTTTGACAGGTAAGGGGAAGTCCTTTGGTCACTGGACTCTCTCAAGGGTCCCAGCGGCAGGTGTTTCACGCCGTTTCCAACCCCTTCCCATTCCCAGGATGCAGAGCGCCCTGAAGACCTTCGCGGTGGATGAGACCTCTGTCTCTGGCTACATCTACCACAAGCTCCTGGGCCATGAGGTGGAGGATGTCATCATCAAGTGCCAGCTGCCCAAGCGCTTCACTGCCCAAGGGCTGCCAGACCTCAACCACTCTCAGGTGAGCTCACTTGCCCAGCCCCAGAGAGTGACGGAAGCCTGTTTTTCCCCTCCAGCGCACAGTGTGTGAACTTGCTCTTGTCTTTGCCTCAGGTGTATGCAGTGAAGACTGTCTTGCAGCGACCCTTGAGCCTCATCCAGGGGCCCCCTGGGACTGGGAAGACTGTGACCTCGGCCACTATCGTTTATCACCTGGCGAGGCAAGGAAATGGGTAAGGAGGGCCTTGGGCACCATGAGTTTCTTTTTTCTTTTTCTTTTTTGCAAAATGCTATACACTAATAGTGGTGATGGGGTATGGAGCCGGCAGGAGGGGAGGAAAGGGGCTATTGAGAACAATTTTATGGAATTTAAATAAGTTTGGTATCTGACAATTTGTGAGGATGAGAACGGGGCCAGAGTTGGGCTTGGGAATTAATAGGTGGCTACTAATAGCATTTTCCCCATTTTTTAAAAATTAGATTGTATAAGTAGAGTACAGCTGTCACCATTATATTACAGAAATATTAAACAATATTAACCAATGCAAGTAAAAGAGACTGCATACTCTTCTGGTACAGCTCATTTTCTATTCCTTTTTCATTCCATCCCAGTCTCCTACTTATACCTATTTTTTTTTATTATTATTATTATTATTATTATTATTATTATTATTATTTCGCACCCATCCCTCTCCCTCTGTCCCCCCCCCCTCTCCAGAAGCAGTTGTGACTCAATTCTATTTGTTGAATCATGGAGATGGTCTGATTTAGTTCCTTGTCTTTTCTTTTTCCCTTCACTTTGGCTATCAGTACTTTCCCATTTGAGACCCGGTTCCCCATAGTGTATAGATTATTTTTCTTTCAATGATATCATCCTGGAGCATATAATCAGCTAAATATTTGTACCATTTTTTTAATTTCCAATTTTTTGTACTCTTTCCATCCCATTGCAATTGTTGCTTGTGCCACTCCTTATCATATATTTTATAATATCTGTCCATCTCACCCTTTATTTTCCTACTAGTTTGAGTCCTTGGTGTTTCTTGGGTTATTTGAAAAAGCCAGTTTTTAAATTGTACAAAATGCATAAGGTTGTGAGTGAACTACAACTCACATCATGGCAGGCCAATTCCCCTCGAAACCCACCAGTATTCACATTTGGCCATATTTGGCATGTTCAGTTGCTGATAAATTCCTCTGTTTGCTTTGTGCCTTAGAAAATAATAGGAAAGAGTTAAGGGAGAGACAGTGGGCGGGGTCATACAAATTCCTTACCAATGGAGAGAGTAAGAAACACTGGGATGTCTTTGGTGGAGGAAACACATAAAATCTAGGATGAAATTGTCCCAGTATGAAATCTTTCACTTGGGTGGTGGGCAGTGTGGTGTTTGTGGAGGACATTGGCAGGGCTCTTGGACATCATGGCGCTCACTATAACCTGCAGTGTCTTTGGAGAGAGGGCCTTTGGTGTCTCCTGAGTCATGAGAGCTATAGCTGTTTGAGGAAGTGGGAGCTTGTGTGTGTACATGGACACCCAACCACATACACACATACATATTTTCGTTTTTATTATGTGTGTAGATCAGGGGTCCTCAAACTTTTTAAACAGAGGGCCAGGTCACAGTCCCTCAAACTGTTGGAGGGCCGGATTATAATTTGAAAACAATATGAATAAATTCCTATGCACACTGCACATATCTTATTTGTAGTTCAAAAAACACTTAAAAACAATACAATAATTAAAATGAAGAACAATTGTAACAAATATAAGCTTATTAGTATTTCAATGGGAAGTGTGGGCCTGCTTTTGACTGCTGAGATAGGATTGTTGTTGTGTGTGCTTTCAAGTGGTTTCAGACTTAGGTTGATCCTGAGCGAGTACCAGGTAAATGACCTTGGAGGGCCGTATTTGGTCCCTGGGCCTTAGTTTGAGGATCCCTGGTATAGATAGATAAAAATTGTGGTATGTTGTCACATTCCCACCACATGTGTAGAAAGGTTCCTGTTTCGCCACTTTTATGTCAACATAATTTTGTTGTGCTTTTGATAATATGGGCTAAAACTAAAGGTCTGAGGGTGCAACGACACTGTAGAACTGATGCAGCTTGACACCACTTTTACCGCCATGGAATCCTGGAGTTGTACTTTCCAGGAGTGCCGGCACTCTTTGGCTGGAAAGACTTTGCCGAACTACAATTCCAATGATTCCACAGTTAAAACAGGACCAGACTGCATTCATTCAATGGTGTTGATGTACCTGGGTGGGTAGTTTGTATAAGTAAGAGTGGGGAGTTAACAATTAGCTTTGAATGTATTCATTTAGTAATCTGTTTCTTTATGTTCAGCTTCCATTCCTTTGGTTTCTTATGCTTTTGGAGGTCCCGGGAATGCTGCATGCATAAAGATTAGATCAGTTCTTAACTTTTTTTTTACCAGGACCAAATCAGTTTTTTTGGTCAACTTTAGATTTGCTTTGGTAATTTGTGGTGCTGATTCAGAAAATTACATTGGATAGACCACATCAGCTCTAGTTTCTGATACAGAGCACATGCCATCCAGTAGTCGCCATCTGCTTGCTCACAGAAAACCTTATTTAATAATCTAGAGCTGATGTGGTTGTAGTAATCTTTTGTGGGTAGTCAGCCTCTCCCCTCCCATCATCCACGTTGAGGGTTTTACAAGACCAGTAACTCTCATTGCCCTGTGGTTTTGAGGCAACGGTGTAGTAATGGTGAGGCCACGGACCATATTTTCGTTCTTGAGGACCACTGGTGGTCCATGGACCCCAGGTTGGGAACCACTGGATTAGATGATAGTGGTGATGTTGATAATGGAAGATGGATTTTATTTCATTTGAATGGTGCCTCGCCACTTACTGAATGGACTAGATTGCCCTTGGGGGTTTCTTATTTTATTTATTTATTTATTTACCTTACTTATATACCGCTGTTCTCAGCCCGAAGGCGACTCACAGCGGTTCACAACAAATACGAACAGCAAAAATTCAGTGCTACAATATAGAAACAGTTAACAACCTAACACATTACACAATTAATAAACAGTTACTACAATACCCATTCACTGTCGTCTCATCATCAAAAACATGTTCCAGATTCGTCATCCAGTGTTCATTAACCAATTTCTTCCAACTCTGATTCTCAGAGCCCAAGAGAGGGACCAATTTTCTCAATATCCAAACCTGTAAAGTTGTCATCATGACAACTTATACCTTTATGTAGCACTTTTATTCCACCAAAGAGCCAGACAAAGGATTTATGGAAAGCCTTTTCCCCCTCCAAATTAACCAGGCCTAAATGTATCAAAGTTTTACAGAGAGGCCCGGAAACATCCCAAACTTTTTGATCCCAAAGTTTGGGCCACAGCATCCCATGTTTCCCTTTCTCCTCTGGTTTGAGTATTTTTCCAACCGCTTTAACGTCATTGCAGTCATTTCGGTGCAACCCTTAACTCTGAGGATGTTTCTGTTTGGCTTTGAAATTTGGTGTTTGATTTCATCCTTGCAGAACCCACAACAGGTCTACTTGCAGTGGGCATCCCAATTGGGGCCTAGACCCAATCCCTTTGCTCTCTCTTTTATCCCCCTCCACTAGGCCTGTGCTCGTCTGCGCTCCAAGTAACATCGCCGTGGACCAGCTGACGGAGAAGATTCACCAGACGGGACTGAAGGTGGTTCGCCTTTGCGCCAAGAGCCGCGAAGCCATCGACTCACCTGTCTCCTTCCTGGCCCTGCACAACCAGATCAGGAATATGGATAGGTGAGGCTGCCGTGTCGTTTGGGATGCCTTCCCAAATTCCTAGCCATTGGACAAGCTGGTTAGGGATTCTGGGAATTGGAGGGCCACAAGTCTGATACCTCTGCTCTGTCTGCTTCCCTCTGTGAATTCTCTGCTATTCACTCCATTCGATTCCTGAGGCCTTGGCTACTATTCCTCCCACTACATTTTCCCCATATGCTACTGAACTGCCCTGGGAACAGTGTTTCAATACAAGACTGATTCAAAGTGCTCTCTTTGCATGAGACACCATTTAATTATTGTTATTATTGTCTTTTTTGATCCACGTTTTTGGGTGCTAATCTTGGTCTTCCTGATCCCTGAATGATCCCTGCAAGTTGTTGTTATGTTGTGATGTCTCTTTTGATCTTGGTTTTGGGTTCTAAACTAGGTCTTCCTGTTACCTGAATGGGAGACCCCAAGATATTATTATTGCTATTTTTATTGTGAGTATTGTTGTTATTATTAACTAGCTTGGGTACCCAGCTTTGCTCAGGTAATTAGAAGAAGTCGATTTTTAATTTTACAAAATGCATAAGGTTGTGGGTGAACTACAACTCACATCATGTCAGGTCAACTCCGAGGAACTCCATCGGTACTTAAAGTTTGTTATGCTGGGCAGGTTTGATCTAGATTAATCATGGGTGGGGTTCGGTGTGCTCTCTGGCTGTAGGATAAACTACAACTCCCACTATGGTGAGTCAGTAGGTTGAGTTAATCACGGGGGTTCTGTGTGCCAAGTTTGGTCCAGGCCCATCATTGTTTGGGTTCATAGTGCACTCTGGATTTAGGTGAACAACAACTCCTGTAAATCCCTCCAGAGACCTCCAGTATGTTTTGTTGTTCATGGGGGTTCTGTGTGCCAAGTCAGTTTCAGGTCCATCATTGGTGGAGTTCAGAGTGCTCTTCGATTGCGGATGAACTATACATCCCAGTACCTACAGCTCCTATAACTCATGGTGAATTATCCCAAAACCTCTCTACTATGTTCAGTTGCTGATCATTTCCTCTTCTGTGTGCCATATAAAAGAATAGGAAAGTGTTAAGGGAGAGGCAGTGGGTGGGGTCATGCAAATTCCACACCAATTGATAGAGTCAGAAACACTGGAATGTCTATGGTGCAGGAAACACAAAATCTCGGATGAAATGTCCCTGTATTAAAGCCTTCACTTGGGTGGTGGACAGTATGGTGTTTGTGGAGGATATTGGCAGGGCTCTTGGACATGTTCTCAGTGCTCACTAAAACCTGCAAAGTCATTGGAGGGAGGACCATTGGTATTTCCTGAGGAGTGGGAGCTACAGCTGTTTGTGGAGGCAGAAGCTTTCCTTGGAAGTGGACACCCCAGCCACATACACATACATATTTTTACTTTTATTATGTGTATAGATGTCTCTTTTGATCTCAGTTTTGGGTGCTAAAGTAGGTCTTCCTGATCCCTGGATACCCAAGTTATTATTGTTGCTATAGTATTATTATTATTATTTCAATTCTAAGACACACTTTGCATCATAGTATCGAGAGTGGATTTTACATATTTTTGTTAGTACTGAAATTAGAGTATGTCTTATAATGAGAGAAATGTGGTATTTATTGCTGTCGTTTAACTCATTTAGAATCAGGATATGGCTTCTTTACAGAGGATTTCTGGGCAGTGAAAGTATTGTATGGCTGCTAACGGGTTTTCTTCGTGTGTATGTATTTGTCGGTTTGCTTTGCAATAATAACAACAACAACAACATCAACTATTTATATTCCGCTCTATCTCCCTGAGGGGACTCAGAGCGGATTACAATATACACAGATAAGCAAACATGGAATGTCTTTAATACAGTGGAATAACAATAACATAGAAGTACACAGAACTTTGATCACTGGCTTTCTGGAGGCAATGCTTAACTCTGGCCGTGGGGAGTGCTCTTGTTCCATTTCCTAGCCAAGGAGCCTGTTGTCCGTAAACACCTCCTGGTCAAGATCTCGAATACTAGAAAAGGTTGAAGCCTTTGTTTTTTCAGGGAGATTTTGGCGTTCCGGGTACTTTGCACTGCCAGTTCCACAAATCTCATGGCCATGTTTTTGGAGTTGAAGTTCAAAAGAATCTGCAGTTTCCCTGTCGCTGCTCTGGCCTCTAGACAGGGCATACATTTAGATACCATGGAAGAGGAGGTCCATAATAGGAACAAATTGGCCAAACCACAGGTTACAAAGCCTCCACAAACTAAAGACACCTGTTGATTGTTTTGTTTGTGGAAGAAAATGCTGAATGTTGTGAAAAGTCTGAGAGGGATGTATCCTTTTCATCTAATCCAGGGATACAGCTATATGGAGAAGTGGGATAAGGACATGGCCCTTTAAATAACAATTCTGCCCCCTGCTTATATTTTCCTTGAGTCTCTATTGCAGTAGCTTCAAACTTCAGCTGAATGTTATATAAATACAGTTTAGATGTCCAAAGAAAAGGGGCAAATATCAGAATTCTCAGGAACTATTTTCAGTGTCTCAGGGTGCATTTACACTGTCAAATTAATGCAGTTTGACATCCCTTGAACTACCATGGCTCAATACTATGGAATCATGGGAGCTGTAGTTTCACAAGGCCTTTAGCCTTCTCTGCCAAAAAGGACAGGTACCTCACTAAAGTGCAACTCCTATCATTCCATAGCACTGGCGCAATGGGTCAAACCCTTGTTCTGGCAGGACTGCTGACCGAAAGGTCGGCAGCTTGAATCCAGGGAGAGGGGTGAACTCCTGTCTGTCAGCTCCAACTTCTCATGCGGGGACATGAGAGAAGCCTCCCATGGGATGGTAAAACATCCAGGCGTCCCTTGGGAAACGTCCTTGCAGACAGCCAATTTTTTCAGATATGGCTTCTTTACAGAGTACTCCTGGGCAGTTAAAAGTATGGTATGGCCATTCATGGGTTTTCTTGGTGTGTTGGTTTTGCAGTATGCCTGAGCTCCAAAAGCTGCAGCAGCTGAAAGATGAGACTGGGGAGCTGTCCTCTGCTGACGAGAAGCGCTACCGGGCCCTGAAAAGGACAGCCGAGCGGGAATTGCTCATGGTACATGTGCCTTTTCACTCTTGTCTCACACAGGGTTGGGCCAAATGAGTTGCCAAATGTGGTACAAGAGAGGTGCTCAAGTCCCATTCTGGTCCTATTCTAGAATGCTCTCGTCTTCTCACAAACCTCTGGGGGTAGACGAAGCCGTGTGATATACATCCGTAGCCTTCTGGGGGTCTTTTAATGAGTCAGGGTGGAAAAGGAGGGTTCACATGTCTGGGCCTGCTTCTGACGTTGTGTCCTGCCCACAGAATGCGGACGTCATTTGCTGCACCTGCGTGGGAGCTGGCGACCCACGGCTGGCCAAGATGCAGTTCCGCTCCATCCTGATTGACGAGAGCACCCAAGCCACAGAGCCTGAGTGCATGGTGCCGGTGGTCCTGGGGGCAAAGCAGGTAGGACACCCACCCTGCTCGGGTAGGGCCATCTTTTGAGGACCCAAGAGGTTTTGAAGCCGCTGCATTTTCTGTTATGTTTGCCTTTCTGAGCCTAGGTCAGCTGCAGACCTTAATGTGTCTCCGTAATAACTCCAATTTGACAATGGGAGAACTTAATTGAAGACACAGTACAGGCAGTCCCTGAGTTACAAATATCATTGTTAAGAATGGGGGTGAGACAACAGAAAGTAAGAGGAATCTGTCCCTTGGGAGGGAAATCCACTCCCGGAAGAATTATTATCATGGGAGGGAAGTGTTTTCACTGAAGCTTTATCCCTGATCCTTGTTTCCACAACAAGCCACAAGGGGCACAGGCAGCGAAAGAAATACCACGGTCTCCAACCAATTGTTAGTGGTAGCTGATCATAATCTAACTCCTAATTCCATTGACTCTAAGGCTACAAGCACATAGCTATGTGAAATGTCTATTATTTGTTATTTCATTATGGCATTTACAGTATGAATATAATAGGAGAGCACAGCATTATAATCCCAAAACATAGCAAGTCCTAAACATTTTCCATGAGGCTGTAGAGAAGAGTGAAAGAAGGGCTTCAGAGGAATGGCATGTTCAGCCCAAGAGACGTAGCTTGCAAAAGACACGACTGTTGGGGGTTGATGGGATCCCCAGCAAAGACAGCATAAATGTCCAGCTTGAGCTAGAATTCTACTCTGAGAGTTGCTTTCAACTCAAGAATCAAAGGCCTTGAGTTTTCCCATAGTGAGAGGGGGACTTGACCTGGGTTGAGCTACATTATTTGTATATCTGTCTTTGTGAAGCTGGTCCTCCTCTGCTGATATCTGACTCCTTTTCTTCATAGCTGATCCTCGTGGGCGACCACTGCCAGCTTGGCCCGGTGGTGATGTGCAAGAAGGCAGCCAAAGCTGGCCTGTCGCAGTCCCTTTTTGAGCGGCTGGTGGTGCTGGGCATCCGACCCATCCGCCTCCAGGTCCAGTACCGCATGCACCCGGCCCTGAGCGCCTTCCCATCGAACATCTTCTACGAGGGATCCCTGCAGAATGGTGTCACGGCAGGTAAGACTAGAAGGGAGCATGGCTTCGCTCATCTCAAGAGCCACTCTCTTTGGATTCAGGACCTTTTCAGCATTTGCAATCTGGAGGAGAGGTCCTGATTGGACCTGAGCAGCGGACCTAGAAACCTGGCCAAAGCAAAGTATCGGTTAAAATGAATTATCACACTGTAACACGATTTTTCTTCTGGGTTACAAATGTCATTCTCTAATTGGTTCTATCATAAAAATATGGAAAGCTATTGTCGAAGGCTTTCATGGCCGGAATCACTGGGTTGTTTTAGGTTTTTCCGGGCTATATGGCCATGTTCTAGAGGCATTCTCTCCTGACGTTTCGCCTGCATCTATGGCAAGCATCCTCAGAGGTAGTGAGGTTTGTTTGAACTAACTACCTCTGAGGATGCTCGCCATAGATGCAGGCAAAACGTCAGGAGAAAATGCCTCTAGAACATGGCCATATAGCCCGGAAAAACCTACAACAACCCAATATGGTAATACGTTTGTTGAACTAAATTGATTGATTGATTGATAGATATAGATAGGTAGATACATAGATAAATAGATCAATAGCACTTTCTAACACAATTTTTGTTCCCAGGTTATTAATGTAATTTCCTAATTGGTTCTGTCATAAAAACATGGAAAAAGTTGATTAAACTAGATAGATAGATGTACATAGATAGAGTTTATTTATTTCGTGTCAAAAGCATTGCATAAATACATAAGTTCAAAACTGATAAAGTAAAGAGAGCACGAGCAGCTAAATAGTTTTAGACCAAAAATGGGCAACAGTGACCGCCTTGTTTGTAGCTTTAAACAGTTCTTCCTCTGTGCATGAGGCAGGGCATTGTGGACAAATGTACAAGTGCGGAGTTGTTTGTTCTGCTCCACAGTCGCACAAGGTGGAGGATTCTTTTAGGTCAGTGGTTCTCAACCTGTGGGTCCCCAGATGTTTTGGCCTTCAACTCCCAGAAATCCTAACAGCTGGTAAACTGGCTGGGATTTCTGGGAGTTGTAGGCCAAAATCATCTGGGGACCCCAGGTTGAGAACCACTGTTCTAGGTAGTGCCATTTTGCCAGGTTGTCTTTTGATCTGCCCACTCCACTTCTGAGTCTGTTTGGGGACTTCCAAGTTGCCCATTGTTGCTTTGCCCTTGGTGGTAGATCCTCATGGTGGTGGTGGTGGTGGGCATCCAGTTGGGATTGCCTGGTTTAGCTATCCAGAGGGATGCTCTTACTGTTCCTGGGGGGGGGGGGGGGCATTAAGAGGAGTGGTGGTTCTTGTGAATTTAAGTCTACTGGAAGAAGGCTGATAGCCTTGCAGTGGGCGACTCAGAGTATTCAACCTTATTTCTCTCACAATTAGCAGCAACTTCCCATCGCACAATTGGGGGCTGGGGGGCAGCAATGCCAGCTAGCTTGTAAAGTCTATCAGCAGGTGTAGGTTTGAGATATCCTATGATTATTCTGCATGTTTCATTCAGTGCTCTGTTCACCTGCTTCACGTGGGCAGACTTGTGCCAAACAGGGCAGGCATACTCAGCAGTTGAATAAGAAAAGGCCAGGGCTGATATTCTTATGTTGTGTCTGCATCCAATACACTATTGGTAAGTTTCTGCAGGATGTTATTGCGTACTACTTTGTGCTTGGTGTTCACATGGCGTTTCCTAAATTGTACTTTTTGATCTAAGGTGATGCCAAGATATTTAGGGTGAGAACAGTGTTCAAGCTCTTGGCCTTCCCAGGTAACATAGGTGGAAAGCACACACTTGTGTCTTGGCAGGGTTTGGCTTCAGGTGGTTCGGCTTCAGGTGGTTATCTTTGAAGTAGCTGGAGAGATCATTCATAAGTTGGTTTTCGACTGTTTGAAAGTCTTATGCTTATGTTGTATTGTTATTGTTGTCTGTTGGCCTAACATCAATAGATAGATAGCACTATGTAACACAAATTTTGTTTCTGGGTTTTTTGCATCACCCTGCAGCACATGTTGTTCTAGTTTTTCTCATTGAGTCTCAACCAATTCAACCTAGTTTGTGGCAGTTACAGATACAAAGTTTCTGGAGTAGATCAGGTCCTTTCAAAGTAGGGACTGCACAATTAAACAGGAAATAACATTTTCAGAGCAGGAACAGATTTTTTTTAAATTTACATCACATTAGAGACATTATTTTCATTACAGGAGACTGGAATGCCAAGGTGGGAAGTGAAATGACAACTGGGATCACAGGCAAGCATGGTCTGGGAGAACAAAATGAAGCGGGACGCAGGCTGATAGAATTTTGTCAGGAAAACTCGCTGTGTATAACAAACACTCTCTTCCAACAACCTAAAAGACGGCTTTATACACGGATCTCACCAGATGGTCAACACCGAAATCAGATTGACTACATCCTTTGCAGCCAAAGGTGGCGGACATCCATCCAGTCGGTGAAAACAAGACCTGGGGCTGACTGTAGCTCAGATCACGAACTTCTTATTGCACAATTTAGAATAAAACTAAAGAGATCAGGGAAAATACACAGACCAGTTAGATATGATCTCACTAACATTCCTAGCGAATATACAGTGGAAGTGAAGAACAGATTTGAAGGACTAGATTTAGTAAACAGAGTCCCAGAAGAACTATGGTCAGAAGTCCGCGACATTGTTCAGGAGGCGGCAACAAAGTATGTCCCAAAGAAAACCAAGAAGGCAAAATGGTTGTCTGCTGAGACACTGGAAGTAGCCCTAGAAAGGAGGAAAGCAAAAGGAAACAGTGATAAGGGGAGATATGCCCAGTTAAAGGCGCAATTCCAGAGGTTAGCCAGAAGAGATAAGGAACTATTTTTAAATAAGCAATGCATGGAAGTGGAAGAAGACAACAGAATAGGAAGGACACGAGACCTCTTCCAGAAAATTAGAAACATTGGAGGTAAATTTCAGGCAAAAATTGGTATGATAAGAAACAAAGATGGCAGGGACCTAACAGAAGCTGAAGAGATCAAGAGAAGGTGGCGAGACTATACAGAAGATCTGTATAGGAAGGATAATAATATCGAGGATAGTTTTGACGGTGTGGTGAATGAATTAGAACCAGACATCCTGAGGAGTGAGGTTGAATGGGCCTTAAGAAGCATTGCTAACAACAAGGCAGCAGGAGACGACGGGATCCCAGCTGAACTGTTTAAAATCTTAAAAGATGATGCTGTCAAGGTGATGCATGCCATATGCCAGCAAATATGGAAAACACAAGAATGGCCATCAGACTGGAAAAAAATCAACTTATATCCCCATACCAAAAAAGGGAAATGCGAAAGACTGCTCAAACTTCCGTACAGTAGCCCTTATTTCTCATGCCAGTAAGGTAATGCTCAAGATCCTGCAAGGAAGACTCCAGCAATACATGGAGCGAGAGTTGCCAGATGTTCAAGCTGGGTTTAGAAAAGGTAGAGGAACGAGAGACCAGATTGCCAATATCCGCTGGATAATGGAGAAAGGCAGCGAGTTTCAGAAAAACATCTATTTATGCTTCATTGACTCTTCTAAAGCCTTTGACTGTGTGGATCATAATAAATTGTGGCAAGTTCTTGGTGGGATGGGCATACCAAGCCACCTTGTCTCTCTCCTGAGGAATCTGTACAAGGACCAAGTAGCAACAGTAAGAACTGACCACAGAACAACAGACTGGTTCAAGATTGGGAAAGGCGTACGGCAAGGCTGCATCCTCTCACCCAACCTTTTTAACTTGTATGCAGAACACATCATGCGATGTGCGGGGCTTGATGAATGCAAAGCTGGGGTGAAAATTGCTGGAAGAAACATTAACAACCTCAGATATGCAGATGACACCACTCTGATGGCCAAAGCGAGGAGGAGCTGAGGAGCCTTCTAATCAAGGTGAAAGAAGAAAGCGCAAAAGCCGGGTTGCAGCTAAACAAAAAAAACCAAGATTATGGCAACAAGAATGATTGACAACTGGAAAATAGAGGGAGAAATCGTGGAGGCCGTGACAGACTTTGTATTTCTAGGTGCAAAGATTACTGCAGATGCAGACTGTGGCCAGGAAATCAGAAGACGCTTACTTCTTGGGAGGAGAGCAATGTCCAGTCTCGATAAAATAGTAAAGAGTAGAGACATCAGACTGGCAACAAAGATCCACCTAGTCAAAGCCATGGTCTTCCCTGTAGTAACCTACGGATGTGAGAGCTGGACCTTAGGGAAGGCTGAGCGAAGGAAGATAGATGCTTTTGAGCTGTGGTGCTGGAGGAAAGTGCTGAGAGTGCCTTGGACTGCGAGAAGATCCAACCAGTCCATACTTCAGGAATTAAAGCCTGACTGCTCATTGGAGGAAGGATAATAGAGACAAAGATGAAGTACTTTGGCCACATCATGAGAAGACAGGAAAGCTTGGGGACGATAATGATGCTGGGGGAAGAAGGAAAAAGGAAGAGGGGCCGACCAAGGGCAAGATGGATGGATTGTATCCTTGAAGTGACTGGCTTGACCTTGAAGGAGCTGGGGGTGGTTCGGCCGACAGGGAGCTCTGGCGTGGGCTGGTCCATGAGGTCACGAAGAGTTGGAGACGACTGAACGAATGAACAACACATCACATTGTTTTAGTGTCGGGAGAAGTGGGCTCATTCCTGGCCACCCTCTTTCTCTCCTTGGTGAGGATGAACCTTCATGCTTAGTCTCTGTTTGTTCCATTTTGGGACACTGTGCTTGAGGGCCGCTTCTCCTGAAAGGAAGGAGAGTGGCGGGAAGGAAAGCTCTTCGCAAAGGGTAGCTTGCCCTGACCAACTGGTTTTGTGTCTTGCAGCGGACCGTGTGAAGAAAGGCTTTGACTTCCAGTGGCCCCAGCCAGACAAGCCCATGTTCTTCTATGTGACCCAAGGGCAAGAGGAGATCGCAAGTTCCGGGACTTCGTACCTGAACAGGTAAAACTGTATGACAAAGGAGGCGCCACTCCTGCTGAACCTCTGCAGTTGATTTTCTTGCTAGGGCCCTCACATTTCTCCCTCCTTGCCTTCCTTAGTAACATAAAGGTGTGTTCAATTCATCCTGCTCGGCTGTCATGCCATGGTAGTTTCTAAAGAAAAAAGGTAGCAATGGTTTCTAATTCTAGCCTGTATGCAGCCTGAGTAACTCCCCAAAATGCAGTTAGCAGGGGGTGGTATCCATCCTTCTCGTATGTGTATTTATCTCCCCTTCTATACTGCTCCCATTCTGCCAAATTGAGTCCTAGAAGCCATATTAATTAGGGAATAATAATAATCTCTCGCCACCTGTCTTGCCATCCAGAACGGAGGCTGCAAATGTGGAGAAGATTACCACCAAGTTGCTGAAGGCTGGGGCGAAGCCGGACCAGATTGGGATCATCACGCCGTATGAAGGGCAGCGCTCCTACCTGGTGCAGTACATGCAATTCAGCGGTTCCTTGCACACCAAGCTCTATCAGGTACAGACTGCCTCCCCCTCTGCATGAGAGGTTTGCCTGAGAGTTCCCTATGGACAGCAGTGTCATGTAAATTATGTCAGAAATATTAAAAATTACTTGGGTATTTTTCATAACGGAAGTGTGAGTCAAGCACTGAAAGAGATAGTAGGCAGAAGCCTATTAGAGTTAGTGGGCCAAAGCTAAATCCTGAGGAGTGTGAGGTATACCTCTGTGTGAGAGAAGCCTCGTGTGAGAAAGCTCAAGTGTGAAGGTGTGTAAAGCTAATATATATTTGTTTATTTGTGTTATGGAAACCTAGTTCTTGTAAATAGTGTAACCATATTGTTTTATCACAAAGAAAAGCCTCCTATGGAAGAGATAACATTGGGGTGTGTGGAAGGGGATTTCCGGTATGATGGTGGCGAGGTAACAGTGAGCCTTCCCAGCGGCCCGGAGAGGAAATCTTAATCCGAGTTAAATCTCCCCATCCAGATCTTCCCTCAAGTCTTATCCTCGCCACTGATCAGCTCGGGTCTCATAGGGGGCCTTGGGGGGTCACATTTGGCGAAACTGCATCAGATCTGCCCCCTCCCTCCTGACCTTCAGGAAGCTAGTGAAATCCTGGCTATGGAACAAAGCATTCCCAGAATAATGGCTGAGACTGGCTACAGACCAAAGTTATCGACCACATATGTGGACTGAGAGTTGGACATGATTTTATCTTGGCGATTTGGCTTATATGTTTTTTATTCTATATGTATTTTATTCTTTTGTTGTTGTATGATGTTTTAGACTGTATTATTAGCATTGAATCCTTGCTGTGAGCCAGTCTGAGTCCCTCTACGGAGGTAGAGATGATCGGGATATAAAAGTTTTAAATAAATAAATAAATTTTTATTCCTTTTATCGCTTTGGCCTACTGGTGCTGGGTCACACTGCTGCTAATAAGTTACTCTGCTGTACATTTATGAGGAGGGTCTTTTGTTAATAAGCCCACTTGCCCAACAAGAACATAACTGAAAACCAAAAGCCAACTCTGCAAGCAGTGATGTCTTTATTGAGCCTGCTCCAAAAACTAAAATACTTTATACACACTTTCATAACATATGGCTTCCTCATCAGGCAAAGATCTTTGCCTGATGAGGAAGCCATATGTTATGAAAGTGTGTATAAAGTATTTTAGTCTTTGGAGCAGGCTCTATAGAGACAAAAAGAAAAATGGTGAGACCTCTTAGCTATAATAGTGTACAGTAGTGTTGTCCAGCCTCTGGTCCTCCAGGTGTTTTGGAGGACCAGAAAAGGACCACAGATTCGACATCTCAATGCAGGCCCTTTTTGACCATGTAAGGACTTGGGACACAAAGCAATAGAACAAAGGTGCCAAACTTGTGGCCCTCCATCTGTTTGGGCCTCCTTCTCCCAGAAGCCCCTATTGCTAGCTTGCCCAATGGCCAGGAATTCTGGAAGCTGAAGTCCCAAACACCTGGAGGGCCACAGGTTTGACACCAGAAGGAAGGTAATAAAAAATAATCCGGTTTGTGACAGAGAAATAACTGTTAGGCCAGCAGAGTAACCCAGCAGCAGTGCAACTCAGCACCAGTAGCCCAAAGTGATAAAAAGAACAAAAACAGACAGAGCAATCTTATCTCTTCCATAGGAGGATTTTCTTTGTAGTAAAACAATATGGTTGCACTATTTACAACAGCAAGGTTTACATACACAAATAAACAAATACACAGTAAAGCTCACACTGGAGCTTGCTCACACGAGGCTTCTCTCATATTGAGATTTACCTCACACTCCCCAGGATGACACTAGTTTTAGTCCACTGACTCTAACAGGCTTCGGCCTACTAACTCTTTCAGTGCTTGACTCACACTTTTGTAATCAATTATACCTGTTAATTTTTAATATTTCTGACAGTAACTTCCCTTAAGGCTTGTCCTTGTTGGTGGGAAGCCGGCTGCTCCTTTCCTAGACAGGGAACATTACATTTGTCGAGGAGTCTTTGTACTTTGCTGTACCTCAAACCTATCCTTTTTCAACTTGTTGGTAGAATTGTTCAAAGTGGCATGCTTTACTTTGTCCCTCGCTTCCTGGATGCCATCTAAAAACTGGAAACAATTTCATATCTGTTAGTGATACAGTTTTAATTAGGACCCAGCGAGGTCTGGAATATTTGCTCTTTGGTCCGTTGATTCTGAAGATCAGGACGCCTTTCCCCTTTTCTTCCCAGGAAGTGGAAATTGCCAGCGTGGATGCTTTCCAAGGGCGTGAGAAGGACTTCATCATTCTCTCCTGCGTCAGGGCCAATGAGCACCAAGGCATCGGTTTTCTGAATGATCCCCGGCGCCTCAACGTGGCTCTGACCCGAGCGAGGTAGGCCCTGTCCCCGCCTTTCACTCCCCTTCGCCTTGTGTTATTTAGAAACAGGAACACTGCATTTCTAGCTCTGGCTGGCTGTTGAAAGTTCAGACTTCTTCATGCCAAAATCCAGGTCCAAAAATGAACCCTTCAGCCTTGGAAGATGGTTCTCCGTACAGTCAGCTTTCCATGTTTTGGGGTTCAGCTTGGTGGATCAGAGCATTAATGAATCTGATGATGATGCTCTCCTTATACAACTGTGGAACCAAACCCTGCCTCCTTCTCCTCTCCAGATATGGTGTCATCATTGTGGGGAACCCCAAGGCCCTATCCAAGCAGCCCCTCTGGAACCACCTGCTCAACTACTACAAGGAGCAAAAGGTGCTGGTGGAAGGCCCCCTGAACAACCTACGCGAGAGCCTCATGCAGTTCAGCAAGCCCCGGAAACTGGTCAATACCATCAACCCGGTAAGGATCAGGACTGGAGTACCCTCCGCTTGGCATCCATTTGGCATTTGGGGACTCTGAGAGCCATCCAGGGCTCAACCACAGTTATGGGAACACTGAGCCACAATGACTGAGAGAAGACATCAAGTCACTTTATTCCTGCCTTTGCCAGGAATAGTAACTGCTGTATAGGTGCGGCGAGTTAAACCACTGAGCTGCTGAACTTGCTGACCGAAAGGTCACCGGTTCAGATCTAGAGAGCGGGGTGAGCGCCCGCTGTTAGACCCAGCTTCTGCCAACCTAGCAGTTCGAAAATATGCAAATATTAGTAGATTCAGCGGGAAGGTAACGGCTCTCCATCTAGTCATGCTGGCCACATGACCTTGGAGGTGTCTATTGACAATGCCAGCTCTTCGCCTTAGAAATTGAGATGAGCACCACCCCCCACAGTCGGACACGATTAAACTTAATGTCAAGGGGAAACCTTTACTAGGAGACTTTCCAAAAGCTGCTGGTGACTGTGGTGGTAATATTATTATTATTATTATTATTATTATTATTATTATTAATAATAGTAAAATTAATAATAATGTATTTCTTCAATTCTAAGACTCGTTTTTCTTCCCTAGATAAACATCTCTAAAATAGAGTACGGCTTATAATCAGAAATATCTTACAGGGGTTTTTTGTGTACTAAAATTAGGGTGCATCTTACACCCTGTTACAGGTAACAGTATTAATAATAATAATAATATGAATTTTATTTGTTAGCTGCCTCTACGCATAGCTTGAGTCGAGGTACAACACAGTCTAAACACATCAACAGAAACACAACTATGTATGTATACACAAACACTAGCTTGGGTACCTGGCATTGCCTGGGTTATTTGAAGAAATCAATGTTTTTATTTTACAAAATGTATAAAGTTGTGGATGCACTGCAAATCATATCATGCCAGGTTAACCCTCGAAACTCCATCACTACTTAAGTTTGTCATGTTGAGAAAGTTTGCTTTAGATCAGGGGTCCTCAAACTTTTTAAACAGAGGGCCAGGTCACAGGCCCTCAAACTGACCAGGGGGGGGGGGGGGGGCGGATTATAATTTTTTAAAACAAAATGAATGAATTTTTATGCACACTGCACATATCTTATCTGTAGTGCAAAAAACACTTTAAAACAACACAATAATTAAAATGAAGAACAATTTAACAAATATAAACTTATTAATATTTCAGTGGGAAGTGTGGTCCTGCTTTTGGCTGATAAGATAGAATTGTTGTTGCTGTGTGGTTTCAAGTCATTTCAGACTTAGGTTGACCCTGAGCAAGGGCCGGGTAAATGACCTTGGAGGGCCTTAGTTTGAGGACCCTTGCTCTAGATGCATCATCAGTGAGGTCCGTGTGCTCTCTGGCTGCACAGTAAACTAAAAATACCACTATGCTGTGTCAGCCCCCTCAAACCCCTCCAGTAGGTTGAGTTAGTCATGGGGCTTCTGTGTGCCAAGTTTAGTCCAGGTCCATCATTGTTTGGGTTCATGCTTTCTGGGTGTAGGTGAACTACAACTCCTATAAATCCCTCCAAGGACCTCTAGTTTTTTTGTTGGTCATTGGAGTTCTGTGTGCCAAGTTAGTTCCAGGTCTATCTTTGGTGGAGTTCAGAGTGCTCACTGACTGCAGGTGAACTATAAATCCCAGTATCTACAACTCCAAAATGTCCATGGCTCCTGCCTCCACAAACAGTGATGCAATAATAATTCTCTATACACATAATAAAAGTGAAAATGTGTGTGTGTGTGTGTGGCTGGATGTCCACTTACACAGACAACTGCCTGCCTCCACAAACAGCTATAGCTCCCGCCACTCAGGAGACATCAATGACCCTCCCTCCAATGACATGGCAGGTTATAGTGAGTGCCATGAACATTTACAAGAGCCCTGCCAATGTCCCCCACAAACGCCATACTGTCTACCACCCAAGTGAAGCCTTTCATATGGGGACATTTTCATCATAGATTTTCTGGTTTTCCTCCACCACAGACATCCCAGTGTTTCTGTTTCTCTCCATTGGTGTGGAATTTGCATGACCCCACTCACTGCCTCTCCCTTAACCCTTTCCTACGCTTTTCTGTGGCACACAGTAAACCTACATCCAGAGCTCACTATGAACCCAAACAATGATGGATCTGGACCAAATTTGGCATGATATGCCCACATTTGAATACTGGTGGGTTTTGAGGGGAATTGGCTGGGCATTTTGGATTTGTAGGTACTGGGATTTATAGTTCACCTACAATGAAAGAGCACTCTGAATTGGACCAAACTTGGCAAACAGAGCCCTCATCACCAGCAAAAAATACTGGAGGTCTTTGGGGAAAATTCACCTTGATTTGAGGGAATTTGTAGTTCACTTGCATCCAGAGAGCACTGGGAACCCAAACACCGATGGATCTGGACCAAATACCTGATACCAAACTTGACACACATACCTGATAGGCCAAAATTTGGTTACTGAAGGGGTTTGGGGGGACTGGCCTTCCTTTTTGGAAGTTGTAGTTCACCCACAACCAGAGAAACTGTGACCTCCACGGATGATGGACCTGGACCCGACTTTGTACTCAGAACCCCCATGACTAACTCAACCTGCTGGAGGGGTTTGAGGAGACTGGTTCACCACAGTGGGAGTTGTAGTTTACCATACAGCCAGAGAGCACACTGAACCGCACCAAGGATCCATCTAGAGTAGTGTTTCTCAACCTTCGTAATGCCTTAATACAGTTCCTCATGTTGTGGTGACCCCCAACCATAACATTTTTGTTGCTACTTCACAGTCGTAATTTTGCTCCTGTTATGAATCATAATGTAAATATTTGATGTGCAGGATGTTTTTTCATTCATTGGACCAAATTTGGCACAAATACCCAATAGGCCAAAATTTGATGGGGTTGGGGGGATTGATTTTGTCACTTGAGAGTTGTAGTTGACTGGGATTTATAGTTCACCTACAATCAAGGAGAATTCTGAACTCCACTAACGATGGAATTGAACCAAACTTAGCACACAGAACTCCCATGACCAACAGAAAATACTGGAAGGGTTTGGTGGGCATTGATCTTGAGTTTTGGAGTTCACCTACATCCAGAAAGCGCTGTGGACTCAAGTAATGATGGATCTGGGCCAAACTTGGCACGGATACTTAATATGCCCAAATGTAAAACTGGTAGAGTTTGGGGAAATAGACCTTCACATTTGGGAGTTGTAGTTGCTGGGATTTATAGTTCACCTACAATCAAAGAGCAAACAATAGAATCGGGCCAAACTTCCCACACAGAACCTCCATGCCTTGAAGGAATTCACTGGTGCGAGCCTCCCTCCAGCCTCGCATGCTCTCCCTCGCCCACACGTGCGCACCATGCTTCCATGCGCCAAGCACACCTGTTCTCCCCTCCTCGCTTGGAGTCTCAGAAACAGGCCTCCCCTTGGCTGAGACAGCGGAGGAGGGCTTTTGGTGGCAGGATTAGCCTTCTGTTTTCAAAAAAGGAAGAGGACAGGGGGAGAGATCTTCAGCCTTCTCCTCCAAAGGAGTTCCTAAGACCCCTCAGAAATATATATTTTCTGATGGTCTTTGGCGACCCCTCTGAAACCCCCTCGCAACCCCCCTGCCCCAGAGGTCCTGACCCCCAGGTTGAGAAATGCTGATCTATAGCAAACTTGCCTAATATAACAAACTTTAAGTACTGATAGAGTTTTTCAGGGTTAGCCTGGCAAGATGTGAGCTGTAGTTCACCCACAACCTTATGCATTTTTTGCAATTAAAAATTTGACTTTTTCAAATAACCCGGGCAACACTGGGTACCCAAACTAGTATAATATAAAAACTATTTGTGACTAGGCTTACCTGGAGGTAAGGAAAGTAGCTTGCATTCCTCTTGATTAGAAACTATTTTGCCTATATTTGCATGGGCTGCCTTTCAGATTTCCCCCAAATTCTTTTCTAAATATCGAGGGAAAGCTCTTTCCTCATAACCTTTGCTTTCTGAGTATAGCTGTCCTGTTTAAGAGGGACAAGTTGCTGCTCAAAGCATGTGGACATTCTATAGTGCGAATTCACAGCACATCACTAGGGAAACTACGGTTACAGGTAAGCAACCTCTCATATCTCCTTCCCCAGGGGGCCCGCTTCATGACCACCGCCATGTATGATGCTCGTGAGGCCATTATCCCCGGATCGGTGTACGACCGCAGCAGCCAAGGTGAGAGCCATCTTGAGGCGGAGACTCCTTGGTGGGGTCACCATGTTTTCTGTGCCCTGCAGCCTCATCCTGTACCTTTTTTGGTGTGTGGCTTGCATCCTCTGTCATGGTTCCTTCTGAGACTTCACAGGAATAAGACTTCAGATGAATCCATGTTACAGAATGATTAACAGGCTGTTAATTGGGAATATGTAAACAAAGGGTTGGGGTGGAAGGGAGAGGAGCTGTTGCTGTGGGATATAGCCAGGCTTTTTTACACCAAAGGCTCAGAAGAAACTTTATGTCAGGAACTGCAGATACTTAGTATGAAACCTAATCACATCCAGAGCTTGAATAGAGGGAGTAGGAGCCAGTTTGGGAACCAGAAAGAGGAGAGAGCAGCTGAGGGAGCCATTTCCTCGATGCTCTCCCAGTAAAGGATGACCAAGCCTCAGAGCAAGGACTCAGGTCTGAAGGAGAAGTTCAAGAGCCTCTTAGGCCTCGGGGAGTCGTCCAATTTGACGTCATCAGAAGGGAAGCAGACCAAACTCTTCATCACGGCAGAAATACTCAAGGAACTGAGCCCAGAATGTGGCTTGAACAACCGAATTAAGGCCATTGGCCAAATCTGTAAAGTAGCATAAAATAAAAAAATTGAAGAGCATGCAGTGAAAGCAATCTGAAAGACTATTGTGAATATGCTGTAGTCGATTGGCCGACCGAGGCCAGACATGCCATGCTTCACCTGCAGAATGCCGTTATTGAAGGACAGGGACAGAGGCTGGGGGTCCTCCATTCTCACTCCTTTAAAGTGATCAAAGATTTCCCTTCAAATGAAGACCTGCACAAACGGGTTGAAGTCTTCAAGGCTCTGACAGATAATGGGAGATACATAACCTACCTGGAGGAAAAACTGGCTGAATTTGTCCTCCATTGGATGCAAGTTGGTCTGATGTCTGAATTCCTTCTGGTGCTGGTCAACTTGGTCACGTTCAACAGCTGCTACTTAGATGACTATATTGCCACCATGGTCTGCACAATTTGCTTTTTATGGATCCATATGTCCTCTGCCTTTGATATTGAAGTCTCACTGCAGGTTCTGGATGCTAGGGTGTGTTATAACCACCTGCTTCTTTGCTTCTGGTGTGAGAGAATTGGCCATTTGCAAGGACATTGCCCAGGGGACACCCAGATGTTTGATGTTTTACCATCCTATGGGAGGCTTCTCTCATGTCCCCACATGGGGGGCTGGAGCTGACTTGTAGTTTCTCAAGTTGCTCCTGACATTAAAAAAAAGCTTGCCTTCTGAAATGTTCCCTGCCTTTATTGTCATTTTGTGTTGGACCATCAGCGTGAAGGAACTCTGTGAGCCGTGCTGGGAGCTCATGAGCTCATGAAGAACCTGTTGGGAACTCACTTGGGGCATAATCTACAAAATGTGCCGAATCATGGTGGACAGCATGACTGCATGGCCAGCATGACTGCATGGAGTGCTGTTGTATGGAGGACACCGTCTTGCTGCGAGGGGCCGTATTCTTCATGGGGATGGACTTTTGGAGGGCCCACCGACTGCAGACCCTCAAAAACTCAGCCACATTATTTATTTATTTATTTATTTATTTACCTTGCTTATATTTATTTACCTTGTTCTCAGCCCGAAGGCGACTCACAGCGGTTCACAGCAATAAGAGACAGCAGAATTCAATGTTACAGTATAAAAACAGTTAACAACTTAACACATTACCCAATTTATAAACAATAAACAATTTCTACAATAGCCATTCACTATCATCTCATCATCAAAAACACGATCCAGATTCATCATCCATTGATCCATTCCAGTGTTCATTAACCAATCATTGCACGTTGGTACTGTTTTCTTTCCTGAAGGCCATGACTTGTCCCAATGCCATTGTATCTTATGAAATAGTCCTTTCCATCACACGGCTGATCAAGAAATACAGACTTTCCCCGCGTGGCTAGCCTGTGAATCACACATTTGGTAACTCCTGCGTGCGCGCAGGCAGCAACAGGCTACCACTCGGGAAACTATGTTTACAGGTAAGCAACCTATATATCCTCTTGTACATCATGGAGCAGTTGCTGCTGCAGCTGCAGACCTGGACAGCCAGGAATTGAAGTCCATCATCCACGACTTTCTGGCCACCTGCTGAAGGACAGTGGAGGAGCTGTACAACCAGAATGACTTCCATGGATCGCAGGAGAGATACTTTGAGCTGGTGGAAAGATGTGCCAATGAAAGACCAGTAAGAGTCAGAGAAATTTCCTGTTACCTGGAGAGTTGGACTAAGTGGAGCATTGGAAAGCAGACTCCACCTAAACATTATTAGGGAGAATTGCCTTACAGACCAACATATGAAATAGCTGGGACGATGATTTTGGGATTAGTGCTACATTTTATATGTTTTACATTTTTAATTGGTTTTAATTTATAACAGCACTCCATGCAGTCATGCTGGCCACGTGACCTGGGACGCATCAATGAACAACGCCAGCTCTTTGGCTTAGAAATAGAGATGAGCACTACTCCCCAGAGTTGGGCACGATGACTTAATGTCAAGAGGAAACCTTTACCTTTTTATTTGTATTTATACATTTAATTGATTTTAATAGTTAATTGTGTATGTTTTGTTTGATCTTTGTATACTTGCGGCACTGAATGTTTGCCAAATTTGGAATCCCTCTTGGGGTGAGATACCTCGGGGTAAAAATAAAGTAAATACATTTATTTTCAGATCATTGCAGGTTAGAGAGAAAGTTGCCTCTGAGCCTTTTGGCACGGAAAGCCTGGCTAATCAGATCTTTCTGAGCCCCTTCTCTGTTTCTGCTCCTGTTTTTCCAGGCCGCCCCTCCAACATGTACTTCCAAACCCATGACCAGATTGGGATGATCAGCACCGGGCCCAGCCATGTCACCGCCATGAACATCCCCATCCCCTTCAACCTGGTGATGCCACCCATGCCGCCCCCGGGGTACTTTGGGCAGGCCAATGGTCCCGCTGCCGGTAGGATGTTATTGAATCTTGCGGGCTCTGCTCTGAGGGTGGAAAGCAAAGAGGGACGGGGTCACAGTCTCTTCATTTGCTGGGTTTGCAATTCTGTGCCCACAGAGCAGTGTACCAAGAAAGCACTATGTAACACGATTTTTTGTTCCTGGGTTTTAAAAAGACCACCCTCATAAATGCACAACAGAGTAACCCACGAGCAGCAGCATGACCCAGCACCAGCAGCCCAAAGTGACAACAAGAACAAAACACAAACCAATGTTATCTCTTCTATAGCAGGCTATTCTTTGTAGTAAATAACGAGGCCTTTAACTTGGGGCTTCTTGCATTGAAGTTTACCTCACACTTCTTAGGACGGCATTGGCTTTGGCTCACTGACTCTTAACAGGCTTCGGCCTACTCACTCTCCTTAGGACGGCATTGGCTTTGGCTCACTGACTCTAACAGGCTTCGGCCTACTCACTCTCCTTAGGACGACATTAGCTTTGGCCCTCTGACTCTTAACAGGCTTCGGCCTACTCACTCTCCTTAGGACGACATTGGCTTTGGCCCACTGACTCTTAACAGGCTTCGGCCTACTCGCTCTCCTCAGGATGACACTGGCTTTAGCCCACTGACTCTAACAGGCTTTGGTCTACTCACTCTCCTCAGGACGACCCTGGCTTTGGCCCACTGACTCTTAACAGGCTTCGGCCTACTCACTCTCCTTAGGACGACATTGGCTTTGGCCCACTGACTCTTAACAGGCTTCGGCCTACTCATTCTTTCAGTGCTTGACTCACACTTTCGAAATAAAAAATTACCTAGTTAATATTTAATATTTCTGACATATTAAGCTGCCCAAACATCCTGAAGCACGTTTTGCTGTGGTTTCTCAATGAGTATGTCATCGAGTCTCAACCAATTCAACCTGGTTTGTGGCAGTTACAAAAAAAAAAAACAAAAAAAAAGATTTTTCTGAAGTAGAACAACTCCTTTCAAAGTAAGGACTGCAAAAATAAATGGGAAATAACGCTTTGAACCCAGAATCTTTTTTTTTTTTTTTCAAATTGTGTTACATAGTGTAATAGTGATTCAGTATGACTTGATTCGGTAAAGCTTCTTTTATACCCAGCGATGGGAAATGCAGACCGATGATCCAGATTTGTGTCGGGCTGCTGTTCCCATCCTTGAACTTGGAATGTTAGTTGCTAAAGCAGCTGCTAGTTTCCCTTGTTTTGCTCAGTGGTGCTTTTTCCAACTTGCTGGTGTCAGCTCTTGCAGTGCAACTTGTTGAGTGGTTTGTTGGCTCTCTTGCAGGCCGGGGGAACCTGAAGGGCAAGGCTAGCCGGGGCGGGCGGCAGAAGAATCGCTTTGGGCTCCCGGGGACCGGCCAGTCCAACCTGCCCAACAGCCAGGCCAGCCAAGACGTGGCCTCGCAGCCCTTCTCCCAGGGGCCCTTGACCCAGGGCTACATTTCCATGAGCCAGCCCTCCCAGATGAGCCAGCCAGGCCTCTCCCAGCCAGAGCTTTCCCAGGTAACCGGCATCTTGTTGCGGAGACCAGGAGAATGTGTAAAACTAATTTCATAAAGTTAGATTGAAGAGGAAATGTAAAGAGAGAAAGAAGGGAGGGGGGAACAAAAAGGAGAGGAAGGAGAAAAGTGTGGATGGATAAATATTAAGGGTTTATTTCATTTGCTAAAAACTCATACAAATACCCAAAGGAGGCTGCTGCTCTCACGCTTAAGACACAAAAATGGGAAAAGGGGCAGCCAAAAAAACGGAAATCCCTTCAAGAGCGGAAAGCTCTGGGTCTCCTTAAAATGAAAGAAAACCGGAACATCCCAAATAGGTGTCCTTCAAATAGAAGGCTTTGAAAAATTGCTCCCTTGTACCAGATCCCACTCCCATTTCCATGCTTGGTTTGCAGACGTGATGACCGTATAATGCGAATCTATCTAATGTGCATCCCAATTTTGGCACAGCCATTTCGCCCCAAAAGGTGAAAATTAGATCCAACTAAATGCAGTACTTCCGATCCGACTAAATACAGCACTTCCCCCATTAATGGAGAAAGCAACAGACTAGTTACATATGGCATGCCAGCCCCTCCAGAAGTTCCAGGAACATCTGCAGCCGGGAGGGCACTTGCTCTAGGAACCCCCTCCATTGAAATCAGGATAGTAAATAAAGAGCAGCACTCAGAAAATAGGGAATTCCAGACAGAAAACAATCAGGGCCGTCTAACACCTCCCAACTAAGGATTCTTCTAGGCAGGAAGCAGCCAGGCTTTGAGGCTGCAAGACCATTCAATACTAATAAAGGTGGCCAATGGCAACATTCACACTTGCCAAGAGAAGACAAGAGTTCTTTCTCCCACCCTGGACATTACAGATGTATAAATCACACTTGTCTAGTTTCCAACAGATCTCACACTCTGAGGATGCCTGCCATAGATGTGGGCAAAATGTCAGGAGAGAATGCTTCTAGAATATGGCCAGACAGCACAGAAAACTCAAAGCAACTCACTTTCTGAAATATTTTTTGTGTTTTAAGTTTACTTGACCATTTTTTAACCTAACCAAACTCCCACAATTCCTTAGCAAGAGGAGTAGGAAAGATACCTATCAGGATATTGTCAGGAATGCTCTGATGCTCCTCAGGTGCTTCTATTGTGCCCCAACATTTTCTCGACAAAGTGGCGGTTTAGAATACTCAGAAAAGCAAAGTTGTGCGTAAAAAAATAAATTATGTGGATTTTGTACCATACTGAAAGAAACGTGTCTCCATTCCCATCTTCAGCTGTTGACATGTACCCTTTTTTTCTGCTCATCTTCAGGATAGCTACCTGGGCGATGAGTTCAAGTCCCAGATCGATGTGGCCCTGTCACAGGACTCGACGTACCAAGGGGAGCGCGCTTATCAACACGGAGTGACCGGACTGTCACAGTATTAAAATGTAAGGCAATTAATTGAGCACTTTCCCTGGAATTTGCTCTCTCTAATCCATGTATGCCTGGCATATTGATTCATTCCCCTTTTGGGATAGCTGCTGTGGATAGAAGTGTATGATTGAATTATAATTACAGTGGATTGTGGGAGTGTTGGGACTTCCCAGCTCCGTCCCAGCTTCAGGCAAAAGTTCACTCCAGATGACTTCCCCTACATATTGGTCTCACTCTTGAATAAAATGTATGTCTGTAGCTCGGAGAAAGCTGGCTTTTGGGGACCTTCTGAGCATGAACACAAAACAATTGTGCTGAGAAAATATAGTCTGCAAAAGAATTTTTTCCAAGCGGAGGTCAGTTTATGGCACATGTGTCAAACTGAAGGCCCACTGTGTCCTTTTATGCATCCCTCCTAATGCTGGACTAGAACTCCTGTATTCCTCATTGGAAGGACTATAGATGTTGGGAGTCAGGATACAGGAACATAGGTAGGGATGCAGTTCGTTCCGTTTGCAGTCAGGGGCGTAAGAATTTAAATGCAAGATTTGTGGATCTGTGTCTAGCTTTAGAATGTCCTTTTGCCTTTCCCTCTTACCCAAGAGCCACAAGGGCTGTTGGGTTGCAATTCCCATCATCCCCAGTCTGCATGGCAGATAACTGAAAGTGATGGGAGTTGTCATTCAGTGACATCTGGTTTTTAATGATTTTTAACTGGAAATTTCCAAATGCTGTTCATATTTAATCCTGTTTTAATGTTTGCATATTGGTATATTTTAAATTGTATGCTAATGCTTTTGTGTTAAGCTGCTTTGAGTCACCTGCGAGGAGAGATAAACTGGGGTATAAATAAATATCATAGAATCATTGAGTTGGAAAAGACCTCCTGGGCCATGCAGTCCAACTCTCTGCCAAGAAGCAGGAAAATCGCATGATTACTGTTAATAACAATAATAGTAATCTAGGAATCCAAATTGCCTAAAAACCAAAGGGCACCAGCCACTATGTGAAAAAAATTCTACTGGCCCTCTTTATCCACGGATTCTCACTCCATGGGTTCATCCATAAGGCTTCTGTGGCCCTCAATTTAAAATGAATGTGACACCCCCTGGTTAATGGTTTGTGTTCTTGAGGCTTTCTGAAGAAAGGGGTAAAACACTAATAACCATTTAAAGTTTGGGATGAGCAAGTGAGGTGTGTTTGGGAGATTCATTTCAGCCTCCGGCACACCCTCCCAACAGACACAATGATAGCCCCCAAATGCCAAAGTGGCGAGAACCTAAAGTTGTTTTTAGACAAGTGCCTTAAACATACCCTAAAGGTCTCAGATCCATACTGGCAGCCATATTGGAAATAACCTCTTGGCCATGGATCCTTATATTTCAAAGCCTGGTGAGGAAAGGCTTATCTAATCCCCATTTTGCCCATTATTAAAAGAAAGGTTTCTCCTTGACATTAAGTCTAGTCGAGTCCGACTCTTGGGAGTGGTGCTCATCCCCGTTTCTAAACCAAAAAACCGGCATTGTCCGTAGACGCCTCCAAGGTCATGTGGCCAGCATGACTACATGGAGTGCTGTTACCTTCCCGCTGTTACCTATTATTCTTCTCACATTTGCATGTTTTCAAACTGCTAGGTTGGCAGAAGCTGGGCCTAACATCAGGAGCTCACCCCCATCCCACAGGTTCGAACTGCCAACCTTCCTGTCAGCCATTTCTGCAGCTTACCGGTTTAACCTACTGCGCCACTGCAGCACCATTTTGCCCATTAGCCATATATATATATATATATATAGAGAGAGAGAGAGAGAGAGAGAGAGAGAGAGAGGGAGAGAGAGAGAGAGGGACAGGACCAGACTCATCAACCTTCAGCCCTCCAGCTTCCAGAATCCCTGACCATTAGGAGCTTGTGGGAGTTGGAGTCCCAAACATCGGGAGGGCCGTAGGTTAAAGATTGCTGGGTGCTCAAAACAGCCCTTCAATGACCGCCTCTCCCTCTTGTTTTCCTCCTTTTAGGTTGAAGGAGAAGAGCTAAGCTTGCGTGGAGCTTAGTTCCACAGCGTTTTATTCTGGGTCATAAAAAAATTAAAATAAAATGGATACCTGTTTTCCACTGCTAAAACTGAAGCAACTCTTGTGAGAGCAACAAGAGAGAGAAAGGTAGAGAAAAGAGAGAGAGAGAGAGCGACATCAACGGAGAGAGGAGTGAGAGAAGAGGGAAAGGAAGGAGCGCGTGCGAAGGAGAGAGAGAGAAGAAGAGGAAAGAATAATAATAATAAAAACACAATAAAGAGCCCACTGCTAGCTCACTGAGATGAGAGGAGACTAATGACCGGAGATGGGAAGCTGAGCACCGGAGGAGGAGGAGGAGGGACCGGCTGGCGGTCGGTCAGCGGACTCCCGCCATCAACAAACATACTGAAGAGGCGAGAGAGAGAGAGAGAGAGAGAGAAAGGAGGAGAGAGAAAAGAAAGAGAAGGACCTTCGAAGCAAGATTCACTTCATGTTCCGTTCTTCTCATTGTTGCGAGCAGGGCTTTACTTTTCAGAGCAGGGCGGGAGAGGGAAGGGGAAAAAAACCCTCCATCTCAGAGTTGGTTTGTGTACTTGTCTCTCCCTTTGTTTGTATTTTTATTTTTCCCTTCCTTCTTTTTTTTTCCTTCAGAGCAAGCGGTCCTCCGCTCTCGGCTGGTACCCAATTCTGAGACGGAGTGGTTTTGGCAATTTTTTTATTTTTATTTTTTTTGTGAATCTCGCATTTGCAAAAATGGGATTTTTTTTTCTTTTTTTTCTTTCTTTTTTTTTTTTTTTTGGTGAAAAGATGGAGTGGTTCTTTTTTCCCCCAACTTTTTTTTAAAGGAGAGAGAAGTGCTGGATATATATATTATATATTTCTAGACCCTTTTTTGTCTCTGAAATGATATCTTGGTAGTGGAGCGGGTGCGGGACAAAAAAACCCTTGTTCTGAAAAGCTGAGTAGAAAAATCTATAAATATATCTCTACACACATATATATAAGAAAAAAGCGTGCTGCTTAACTTTGAGAACACTCTTTTTTTGGCGCGATTTTGTCCAGTTGGTCGCCCTCTTCTCCCGAAGGAGAGTCGCGGAAAGGAAGTCAGCGCTTTCTAGGTTCCGAAGGACATTTGTCTTGCTTTTATCGGCTACTTCTTTCTGGGCTCTGCTCCGCGCAACGTTTTGGGGTTTTATTTCCCTTTCCCCCTGCTGTTTGTTTTCTTCTTCCTTTTTCTGTAAGACGTAACGCTTCACAAAAAGAAAAGGTAGATCGAGCTGATCTTTGGCCTGAGGGACGCTGGGTTGGGGGATGCGTTTTTAGCAAAAAGGGAGGAGGAGGGGGGACTAGATTATATTGGTTTTGAAGTAAAAGGTTCTCTATCAAAAAAGGTAATATTTCAAAGCAGGTCAGTGGCGTGGAGAGCAGATAGTTATTGCAAGGATATCGGGGTGATGTTTTGCAGGAAGGAGAAGTTGAAACAGCCGGAGACCACGGAAAAGAAGAAAACAACGCGACATTCAAGTGACCAAAAATGTTTTGTTTTGTTTTTTTGCGACGGAAAACATTTTCCTTTTTACAATCCGCATTGATAGCTTTTTTCAGCAAAAACACCAACAATGCCTCTGAAACTCGTCTTCGGCCCTTTTGCCTCTCGAGAGGCGGTTTTGTACAAAAATCATCCGTATGAATTTCCCCCCCTTTCTTCTGATGTCGTTTCACCTTTTGAGGAATGCGAAGTTACTTTTCACTAATGTAAAACAGACGACACCCTGCTTAAGAAACCCATCCCGCTTCCTAGGAAAGAAAAAAGACCCGTCCCGCAAAGGTGGGATTTCAGATCCCTTTTGGAATAAAGTAAATAACATAAAAAACCGCCCGAGACTTGTTTTCCAGCCACAGAAGTGCAACGTCGGTGCTGTAGCAGACAGGCTGGTGGCAGGAAATACACAAGAAGGGTCTCCAAGATTTGAACTTCTCCGGGAAAAGGGCTGCAAGCCAAACGTCCTGCCGAGGGGCTGCCTCTCGATCTGGACCATTGGAGGATGAACCCCTTCCTCCACCCCGCCCCCCAGGTAGGCTGCTGCGTAGGTTTATTTTTTGAGATAGGCTTTAAAGTGATAGCTGCCTTCCCCTTCCCCATTATTGACCCTCTGCGGATTAAATGTACCCCGTTTTCTTCCCGCCTCCACTTCCCCGATCCCTCCCTCTAGTTATTGACGCTTGCCTCCGCTTTGCGCTGGGTTTCTTTCCCTCTGTTGCAAGTCATTCTTTTTCTTTTTCTATTGAAAAAAAACAGCACCCGGTCGCCAATAATAGCGCGGTGTTGAAGCTGGTTTTTACCCTCCCCTTTTGGTCCCAGTTTGTTTCCTTTTTGTTTTTTAAAACTGTTTGTCATCAACTTAATAAAGAGCTCTTGCATTCACTCTTGGGAGGGGGTTTCTATTTCTCTTAAGGGCGTTTGGCGGATTTAAGAGTTGTCCCATCTGGGATTTCTTGGTACTTTTTCCACTTGCAACCCCAGGTATATTTTAAAAAGGTATGACAATTGCAGTGTATTCCATCTGGTAATAGTCGCCATCACGTAATGGTCACACCTCCCTTTTTGGGGGTCCCCAAAATTGCTATTTTAGGATTCCCTGCATAATAGTTGCAGAATTATTTGGGGCTGATGCCCCCTTCCTTCTTTCTCCAAAGGCAGGGCGGTTAAAAATTAGGAAATGGGGTTCTCTGGAGCTCCACTCTTCTCACCTCTTTCTTTCCTCTTTGGCCAGAAGGGCAGTATTTATTTATTTACAGTATTTATATTCCGCCCTACTCACCCCAAAGGGGACTCAGGGCAGATCACAGAACATACATATACAGCAAACATTCAATGTTGTTTATACACAGACAATTGTACATAGATGGCGGTGTGTATATAGGCTTTTCCCCATCCTCGGCATCTCTGAGGCTTGTGCTCGGTTCCATCCATGGAGGGTGCTTTCACTCCATCTCCCTGCCGAAGACCTTTTTGTTCGTAAACACCCTCCTTTTTTCCATCGGATCGCCATGATTTTTCCTTTGGGGTGCCTTAAAATACCTCCCCTGCTTTTAAACAGTACCTATTTATCTACTCACATTTTGTTCTTTGGAACTGCTAGGTTGGCTGAAGCTGAGCTAAAGGTCAAGAGGTCACCCTGACCCAAGCTTCAAACTGTCAACTTTGGATTGACAAGATTTACTGCAGCTGGTGGTTTAACCTGGCTATGCTAAAGCCCAGCCTACAAAATTGAAGTCTCTGGAGCTCTCCTCTTGCCTTCCTCCAAGGTTGTAAGTCAATTTAAAGTACCCAAAATTAATGCCTCTGGAACTTGGATCTTCCTTCCGTTCTACTTTAAGGGCTCAGAAGAATGAGGAATCTTCTTTCCCCCTTCCTCTTGCATTTAAAGGCAATTTAAAGAACGAGAAAGAAACAGGACTGTTTGTCTGAGGCTGGGTCACCCCTCCTCCTCTTCCTTCCCTTTTGGAGGTCAGGCATTTTATTTCAAAAGAGAAACCGGATAATTAGGCGCAGCTTTTTTTCATCATGTAATAATCACATTCCCTTTTTTCCTTGGTCAAAACCCCAGCAGTCTCTTTGTCTGAAATGCATTTCTACATCTTGACACAGAAGTGTCAATGGAAGGTACAGTATGGCCCTAGCATTAACAGTGGCAAACACTCCATGCACTTGCTTTTTTATTAGAACAAACGATGCCTTTAATACATAGCCAGAGGGAACTTAACCCCTTAAAAGGTATGAAAATCCCACAGGATGTGGCCGCTCTCCTCACTTGGGCCAGTTATGGCAAGGGAGCTTCTAACGCCATTCCTTCAACACAAACCATTGAGGTAAACATGATATTTTAAAACCGTATGGAAATATTCACAAGTTTCAAAACACGCACATTTGGGTTTGAACAAAACATTTGGTATAGGAGCAAGAACTATTATTCTTTGGTCAAGGTTGAGAACTAAAGGGAAGGAAATCGAGGGTTGACACTGGACTCTCCAAACATTGTGAAAATTGCCTCTTGTATTGTATCTTAAAAGAGAAGACCTGGGGGAATGGGCCATTTTTGAGGGGAAGAATCAGGACTTAAAAGCCAAGAGTCACATATGTAACACTTCCCATTGAGGGATCTCGACACGATAGTGTCGGAGTGTATATCAGAGAGCAGGGACACGTCCGATGTTTTCCTATACTATTTGTCATGGTAAATCTGAGAAAACGAGACGGATGCGTTCCCCATAAAGCAAGGAAATAGCTATGTTAAGAGTGGGGGCATTATAGGGCCAGAACATAGCAGTAAAAGGGTCTCATAATGTACGTCCAGCCTTTGACGGGGAGAGGAGCTGCCCTTTGGCACCTGAATATGCAGGCATAGGTGAACTTCAGCCCTCCAGGTTGTGGGAGTCGAAGTCCAAAACACCTGGAGGGCCAAAGTTTGCCCATGCCTAGCCTAGCGGCACCCACACTCATCCACCACCATGTCCTCATAATGCCTCAGCACCACATTGTCGTCATTGTCGTAGTAGAGGATGGATATGGGCGAGAGGCGGACGGGGACACAGCAGGGTTGGGGGGTGCCCTGGGGGTCCAAGGAGTGGACAATGGTCTGGAGGATGGCATGGTTGGTGCCGTTGAGCTCCTCGGTCAGTGGAAAGGGGCACTCGCCCAGGCAGTAGTTGGCCTGGTAACCTTGCGGGGCAATGATCCAGTTCTCCCAGCCCACGTCGCCAAAGCCGATGTAAAGCCGCCGGGGCTTGCAGACATTGGCGCCAGTGGCAGGCGGGACGTAGTAAGCGCTACGTTTCTTCCGGGGGCTCCGGCAGCGGTCCTGGTCTGAGGAGAGCGAGACCACGAAGAGGGAGGCCTCCAGGAAGGAGTCCAGACCAGAGCAATCTTGGGCGGCGATCTCCAGAACCAGGCCCAAGTTCTGAGATGGCGTCTGCCATTCGCCAGCCACCAGGGTCACGTCAAAAGCAAAGGACTTGTGGACGTGAAGGAAGGACTGTGAGAGTAAGGCCCGGCGGCTGTGGGGGTGGCCAGACATCCCCTTCAGCCACGCCCGAGTCACCCGGAAGAGCCGCAGATCGAAGGAGGTGGAGGCCGCCCGGTAGCGGTTCTGGCGAAAGCGTATCTCCAGCCGGGCCGCTGTCACTGTCTCACCCACCTCCAAAGCGGAGAGGTTGAAATAGAGCCTCTTCTGCAGGCATAAGGGGGGCTCCTGGAGGTGAACGGAGCCACCTGGAAAAGAAGCGGTCATGAAAACAATTAATTTCCATGAAGGCCCAGACGATTGTCTTATTTCCTCAGTTCCAAGTCACACTTTCCCCCATAGAAACATCTCTATAAATGAGGTGCACTTTAGAAGTTAGGGGGCTGAAAGATAGGCAGACAGACAGATATCTAGATGGGTGGGTGGACTGATGTATGTATGTCACATAGATGCCTGAGTGGATGGATGGACAGACGGACGCATGGATAGATCTATAGATTCATAGAGCGATACATAGATGATTGCATAGATATCTGGATGTGTGGGTGGATAGATATATGTAGGTATGTCTGGGTGGACTGATTGATGCCTGGATGGGTGGACAGATGGAAAGATTGATTGATTGATTGATTGATTGATTGATTGATTGATGGAGGATAGATAGATGTCTGGATGGATCTATAGATTCGGAAAGTGATTGATGTCTGGGTGGGTGGATAGATAGATGGATGGCTGAGTGGATTGGATGGATGGATGGATATATACATAGATATCTTGATGGACAGATGTCTGGATAGATAGATATAGACAGGTAAACAGACACGTAGTTCTCAATAGCAACCCATAAGCTATAGGCAGATACAGAGGCACATTGGCTAAGGGGAACCTATGGGGGTTATATATATAGGAAGAAGTCACCCTGGGCCCAAACCATGCAGAATCACGTAGTTGGGAAGGAGATCCTAAGGCCATGACACCATGTGATCCCTCCTGACAGATGGCCATCTAGCTTGAAAACCTCCAGAGGAGACCACCAGCTAAGAAATTTGATGTGTCTCATAATAATAAATAAAATGGCTCAAATAATTTTAAAATATTCTGAAAAAATAATTCATTTTAATAATGTATTTTAGTTTAATGTATTTTCATAAAATGGCTAAAATAATTTTAGAAATATTATTTTGAAATAAATACAATTATTATTTGCATATTATAATGGCTATAATTAAAAAACATTCAGAAAAAATAAAATACTATTAACTTAATAGCTATAATGTTACAAATATATTCTGAAAAAATAGAATTAAAATATGAATAAAATTAAACTATTATAATAAATTGGTTAAAATAAAAGTTTTAAAATATTCTAAAAAAATTACATATTACAGTAAAATGGCTAAAATATTTTTGAAATAATAATACTTTATTTATACACTGCCCTATCTTCCCAAAGGTACTCAGGGTGGTTTACAACAAAAGTAACAGTGGCAAACATTCAATGCCAAAATGAACAAAGAACAAATCCACTGGAGCCATGGCAGCCTGGTGGAGGGCAATGACAAGACCCTCCTGGGCACAGCTTGGAAGAGGGCGATGGTATAATTTAAAAATATTCTAAAATAAATAAACACTTATTTACATATAATGGCTATACTGTACTAATATTTTAAAAATATTCTGCAAAAATAATGAAACTATTATTAATATTATTATAAAATAGCTAAAATAATAAATTTTATTCTGAAAAATAAAAATATTTTTAAAGTATTCTGAAAAAATAAAATAATTTACATATTATAATGGCTGTACTAATATTTTCAAAATATTCTGAAAAAATAAACTATTACAAGTGGCTAAAATAAGTTTTAAAAATATTCTGAAAAAAACAAAATTAAAAAATATTCTCAAAAAAGAAAATAAACTATTATTATTAATTACTTATTATAAAGGCTATAGTAATATTTTAAAAATATGAAAGAATAATAAAAATATTTACATATTACAGAAAAAACGGCTAAAATAAGTTTTTAAAATATTCTGAAAAATAAAAAAATATTTTGAAAAATAAAATAAGTTATTGCTTACATATTATAAAGGCTCTACTAATATTTTTAAAAATATCCTAAAAAATAAACTATTACAAACACATTACAATAAAATGGCTAAAATAATAAGTTTTAAAAATACCCTGGGGAAAAAACTAAAAAGTCTTACAAAAAAAATAAACTATTTACATATTATAATGGATATAGTAATATTCTCAAACAATAAAATAAATAAACTATTACAATAAAATGGCCAAAATAATACGTTTTAAAATATTCTGAATAAAATAAAATATAATAATTATTAATGAATCCAATGGTATATATATACCTTGATCTGCAAAGAGGCGGACAATGTTTCCGGGGGCGTTGAACTCCTCCAGCCAGCAGCCTCCATCACCCTTGGCCTCCTTTTCTCTGTTTTTCCTTTGGAAGATCTTCCAGAGCAAAGGAGGCACCGAATGCGTAGTGTTGCTTGGAGGCCTCGGCCTAGGCCGGGCTTTGAGGTTTAAAGCCTTGAGGAAGAAGGACCCTTCCTGGCTCTGCAAAGCCAAGCCCAGCAAGGCCAGGCCTTCCACCAAAGCCATGCAGAAAAGCCAAGACCTCATTGCATGGAATCCTTTTTCTCAACCTTTGCAAAGGAATAAAAGATGCTGCTGGATTGGGAGGAAGGAGAGGAGTGGGAAGCTCAATGGGGTTTGGTCCATAAGAATAGGTCTCCCCCTTTGATCCTCAACAGGAAGCAGCTGGGAAGGTTAACCCTTTCCTACCTCATTGAGGGGGATAGTTCGCTCATTTTATTCATCTTTTACTGTATTTTATTTTATCACTAGCTTGGGGACCCTGTGGTGCCTGGGTTATTTGAAAAAAGCATTGTGTGTTTTGGGAAGGTTCGTAATATCTGTTTGGTAATGTGTTACACTATTTATTAGGGGGGGAAAGCCAATCTTTGCTTTTGTTTTGTATGAATGCTCCCATAAGAAATTGCATAAGGATGTGGGTGATCTGTGGTCTGTCCACCCCCAACTTGCATCAAGAGAGTCATTGGGAGTCTGTGTGCCAAATGTGGTCCAGGTGTATCATTTGTAGGGGTCGTAGCTGTTTCTGGGAACGAAGATACCACAACTCCCATCATCCTTGGTCCATCCTCCCCCAACCCTCACCAGGACATAAAGTGTGTCATGGAAACTCTGTGTGGCAAGTTTGGTCCTGGTCCGTAATTTGTGGGGGTTGCAGTAGTCCCTGGATGTGGATGAAGGTATTGCAAATCCCATAATTCATAGTCCAACCTCCCCCAAACAGCACCAGGATGTAAAGTGGGTCATGGGGTGTCTGTGTGCCACGTTTGGTCCAGGTCTGTCATGTGGGGGGGGGGGGGGGTCCACAGTGGTCTCCGAAAGTGAGTGAAGGTACTGCAACTCCCATTATCCGTGGCAAGTTTGGTCCAGATCCATCATTGATGGGGTTCACAGTGCTCTCTGGATGTAAGTGAACTACAACTCCTATAAATCAAGGTCAGCTCCCTCCAAACCTGGTCATGTGGGTTCTGTGTGCCAAATGTGGTCCAGGTCCATTATCAAAGGGGGTCACAGTGCTCTGCCTTGATGCAGGGTGAACTACAATTTCCATCCTGTTGAGTCATTTCCCCCAACCCCTCCAGTCTGTTCAATTGCTGATCAATTCCTCTGTTTGCTGTATGCCATAGGAAAGGGTTAAGGGAGAAGCAGTGGGCAGGGGTCTTGCAAATTCCACACCAGTGGAGAGAGAAAGGAACCCTGGGGTGGCTGCCTATGGTGGAGGATATAGATGAAATTGTCCCAAATAAAAGCATTCCTTGGGTGATGGCCCGTAGTGTTTGGAGAGGACATTGGTAGGGTTTGGGCTACGTGTTCATGTAGCTCCATACACATTTTTCACTCTTATTATGTGTATAGATTATAGATATAGATTTTATAAAATAAACAGAAAAAAAATCAAAAAGGAAAACACCTTATTTCCCTTTATTCTCTTTTCTTTTCCATCAGTGCTTGGAATATATATATCCCCCGCTTTGTACAAAATCACCCCCCAAAATCATCCATTTTAATTCAGGAATAACAATAATCAACCTATAAGAAAGTGTCTTGTTTGCGGAATCCGGCTCAAAAGCCTCGGCCCATTGTTGTCGTTTGTGTTGCGGGGGGGAAAAAATGCACAAGGCGCAAGGCTCTGGCCTTCATATATAGATCTCTATGGCAAACGCATGCAATCAATGGAAGGAAATTATTTTTAAAATCCCAACAACCCATTTCTTCAGTGCAAGTCAATTGGAATAAATGTATAGATGTATTTATTTTTTGGAAATAGATTAATTTAAATCCATTTTAATTGACCAGTAAATTTAAATTAATTTATGAGATATACAAGTCAGTGGTGTTTCCCCAAAAAGGGCCACTTCCCCTAACAACAGACAACCAAGTAGTATTTCCCCAGAGGGCCACTCCACCTAGCAACAGGCAATCCATAGTATTTCTCCAAAGGGCCACTTCACATCTTTGTGGTAGAAACAGACAAACACACATCCTTTGAGTTTTATAGAGAAGATATATGAAGATATAGTGCTACTTCGATGTGTGTTTTTGCTTCAAAGGTCTACACTGTATTACTTTTGTGATTTCTTGCCTGGCGACTCTGAAGGCAGCCGCCCTTCTTCTTCGTCCTTTCCCCCTCTCTCTTGCTTCTCTACGGGATAAAAAAGGCTCGTTTTCAGCATAATTTAAGCACGATTATATTTAAATACAAGAAGACGTTATCATGTGCCATTTGCTCCGGTTTGATTTTTGGCCCCTTGGAAGAAATCAGGAAATCATATACATCAGGCATGGGCCAGCTTGGGCCCTCCAGGTGTTTTGGACTTCAACTCCCACAATTCCTAACAGCCGGTAGGCTGTTAGGAATTGTGGGAGTTGAAGTCCAAAACACCTGGAGGGCCCAAGCTGGCCCATGCCTGACATATAGCTATATATCTCCTGAGACAAAACACGACTGAATTGAGCAAAACAAAAAAATATAGATCCCTATCTCAATAAAGTGCAGCAGGGCAAAGTGGACAGGAGGGTCCTTCCCGGCTGAAACAGAACATGTGCTTTTCCCTCGGCTCCACTTCCTGGTTCTTTCCAACCAATCAGGGCCTTGTGGGCGGAGCCAAGGGGATTCTTGACTCTGCCCCTGCAGGGGAATATTCTTGGGTTCCGTGCCTATAGCCGCTTGTCCTTCACCAGCCCATTTTTCAAATGATGGCTGAAAAAAGAGAAGAAAAAAAAAGATTAAAATAAGAGGGAAATCTGAAGATGAGCCAAAAGCATGATGTGGCGGCAAAAAAGGCTAATGCAATTCCAGGCTTCTTCCATCCACAGAAGTCCAAATGGAGGGAAGTCATGAGGCCCCATCCAAGATATGGACAAGACAAGAGAAAAAGAAGGAAGGGAAGGAAGGAAGGGGAAAGGGGAGAAAGGAATAAGGGAAGGAGAGAAAGAGAAAAGCAGGGAAAGAAAGATAGGGAGAAGGGAAGCAACAAAGAGAATGGAAAGGGAGGAAAGGCAGCAGGGAAAGAAAGAAAAGGAGGAACGAAGAGAACAGAGGGAAGGCATAAGAGAGAGGAAGGAAAGGAAAGGGAGAGGAAAAAAAGTCAAGGGAAGGAAGAGAATGGAAAGGGAGAAAGTTATAAGAGAAGGAACAAAAAAGAGGGGGGAAAGGGAGGGAGGGAAAAGAGAAGAAAGAAAAAGGAAAGAGGGGAAAGGGAACAGGAGGTAAGGAAAGGAGACAAAGGAAAGAGGGAAGGTATGAGAGGAAAAAGAAGGGAAAGAAAGGTAGGGAGAAGGGAAGGGACGAAGAGAACGGAAAGTTGAAGGTATAAGAGAGAAAGGAAAGGAAAGAGGAGACAGGTATGAGAGAAAGAAAGGAAAGGGGGGGAAGAAAGGGAGAAGGGAAGGAAGAGAACAGAAGGGGAAAAGTTATTAAAGAAAGAAAGGATGGCAAGGAATGGAGGCAGAAGGAAAGAAAGAAAAAGGTAAGGGGAAAGATTGAAGGAAAGAAAGGGAACAGGGAGGGAGGGGAAGGTATGAGAGAAAGAGGGGGGAAAGGGAAAGAAAGGTAGGGAGAAGGGAGAGGATAAAGAACAAAAAGGGGGAAGATAGAAAGGAAAGGGGAGAAAGGTATGAGGAAGAGAAAAAAAGATGAGAAGGAAGAGAATGGAAAGGGAAAGATGGGAAGGAAAAGAAGAAAGGGAGGGAGAAGGGAAGAAGGAAAAAGTACAGAAGAGACAGGAAAAGGGCAAAGGCATAAGAAAAGGAAAGAAAGGGGAAGAGGGAGAAGACAAAAAGGGGCAAGCTATAAGAGAGAAATATAGAAAGGAAATGAAGGTGGAGAAAGTATGAGAGAAAGAAAGAAAGGGAACGGTAGGGAGAAGAAGGGGAAAACAGAAAGGGGGAAAATATAAGAAAGGAGGGGGGGAAAGAAGGGACAGAAAGGTAGGGAGATGGGAAGGATTGAAGAGAACAGAAAGGGAGAAGGTATAAGAGAAAGGAAATGAAGGGGGAGAAATAAATAAATAAATAAATAATAGAAAGGGAGAAGGGAAGGAAGAGAATGAAAGGGGAAAGGTATAAGAGAGAGGTGGGAAGGAAGGAAGAGAAAGAAAAAGAAAGGAAAAAGGTATAAGTGAAAGAGAAAAGGGGGAAAGGGAGGAAGAAGAGAAGAAGGAAAAAGGAAAGGAAGTGAAAGGAAGCTGGGAAAAGTTATGTGAGAAAGAAAGGGGAAAAGGAATGGAAGGAAAGGAGGGAGAAAGAAAAAGGAGGAAAGGAATGAGATAGAAAAAAACAGGCAGGAGGGAAAGAGAAAGGGAAAGGAAGAAAAAAGTATGAGAAAGAAAGAAAAAGAAGGGAAAGAAAGGAATGGAGGAGAGTAAAAGGAAAAAAGGGAAGGAAGGGAATCCCAGATATTGCTTGTTAGGAATTGTGAGAGTAGAAGTCCAAAAGACCTGGAGGGGCGAAGTTTTCCCATGCCTGTTCTAGTTTACATCAATAGGAATATTGATCTAGGGGTCTTCGTGGACCATGAACTGAACCTGAGCCAAGGGTGTGATGTGGCAGCAAATGAGCCAAACGTGGTCCCATTCCATAGCCTCAAGGGAGGAATTATGGTGGCGACAAAAGGGGGAACTCACCCCTCCTTCAAGCCCCATTTCCTGCCGTCCACTGTGTCGTATTCGCGTACGTCGTCCACCTCCCGGACCTGTCCCAGCAGAACCTTCGCCAGGAAGAAGGCAATGTACTGCGGAAACAAGGAAAACAAATCCATTACTGAGAATGGTGGACAATAGCGGACCCTATTGCAATGAACTGGACTCCATTATAGTTGCCATGGAATCATGCTGGAAATGTCGAGAGAGCTCCGATTTGCATTCTATTGCTCCTATCTGTCAACCTCCGCATCTGTATGCTTGTCTGCTATGCCCTGCCTCATGTACAGAAGAAGAATTGTTGGAGGCTACAGACAATGCCATTGCTGTTGCCCGTTTTTGATCAAAAGATATTTAGCCGCCTGTGTTCCTTCTATTTTTATCAGTTTTATACCAATTTATGCAATGCTTTTGATACGAAATAAATAAATCTATCAATTCTGTATCAGTATGTGGTGCAAGGTTATATAATAATTATTTTTTTCTATTTATAAATATTTTTATATATTTGTATATGTACTTGTGTTTTTATTCTAGGTAATTTATTGTATATATTTTAATGTTTGTCGCACTCGAGCCATCAGGAGAGGTGGGTAATAAATAAAAATTAATAGTAATTATAATATTATACAATACAAATAATATAAATAATACTTCCCTGGGTTGCTGTGAGTTTTCCGGGCTGTTTGGCCATGTTCCAGAAACATTCTCTCCTGGCATTTCACCTGGCATCCTCAGGATTTGTGACGTCTGTTGGAAACTAGCCAAGTGAGGTTTATATATCTGTGGAATGTCCAGGGTGGGAGAAAGAACTCTTGTCTGTTGGAGGCAAGCATGAATGTGTAATTGGCTACTTTTAATGGCCTTGCAGCTTCAAAGCCTGGCTGGTTCCTGTCTGGGGGGAGTCCTTTGTCTTATATATTTCATAAATAGTCTTATATATTCCAATGAAACTACAGATAATAATATTAATAATATACATAAATAACAAGTAATAACATTCACACCTAGCTCCAGCAGACAAGAGCCCTTTGTCTCACCCTGGTCATTCCACAGATATATAAACCCTTTTTCCTAGTTCCAACAGACCTCACTACCTCTGAGGATGCTTGCCATAGATGCAGGCAAAACATCAGGAGAGAATGCCTCTAGACCATAGCCATATAGCCCGAAAAAACCTAGGTAATAACTTGTATATTCCATAAATGAAACAGTAGGTAATAACAATATAAATATATTATAAATATATATAAGTAATAACTTGTATAGTCCATAAATGAAACTACAGATAATAATTTAAATAATATATAATAATAAATAATCTTCTAGATTCCATAAATGAAACTGCAAATAAAAATATATAATAAATAATAACTTGTATATTCCATATATGAAACCAGATAATAATATAAATAATATATAATAATAATGTATGATAAATAATAACTTGTATATGCCACAAATAAAACCACTGAAAATATAAATGATATATAATAAATAATAACCTATCCATTAATGAAATCATAGTTTATAATGGTATGAATAATATATAATAAATAATAACCTATCTATTCTAGAAATGAAACTGTAAATGATAATCATAATATATAACAATGCAACCCCCACAAATGATGGACCTGGACCAAACTTGGCACACATAACCCCCATGACCCACTTTACGTCCTGGTGCAGTTGGGGGGGGGGGGTGGACCATGGATGATGGGATTTGCAGTACTTTCAAACACTTCGGCGCTTACAGACCACTGCGTGCCCCAACACTGACAGATCATGACCAAACTTGGCACACAGAGCCCCCATGATCCATTCTACATCCTGGTGCGATATGCAGAAGGATGGGCCATGGATGATGGGACTTGCAGTACCTTCACTTATTTCCAGCTACCAGTGTGAACCCACACAAATGACTGATTAAGAACAAACTTGATACACTGAGCCCACATGACACACTTTACATCCTGGTGCAGTTTGGGAGAGGATGTACCATGGATGATGGGATTTGCAGTACCTTCACTCACTTCCCGAGACAACTGCGACCCACACCAATGACTGATCAAGGCCACACTTGGCACAAAGAGCCCCCATGGCTCACTCTACATCCTTGTACAGTTTGGCAGATGATGGACCATGGATGATGGGACTTGCAGTGCCACCAGCCACTTTGTGAGACCACTGAGACCAGCATAAATGACAGATCTGGACTAAACTTGACACACATAACCGCCATGACCCACCTCAAGCCCTTGTGAAGTTTGGGGGAAGATGGACCTTAGGTGATGGGATTTGCAGTATCTTCATCTGATTCGCTTGCCACAGAACATTGCGATCCCCACAAATCCAGACCTGGACCAAACTTGGCACACAGAACCCCCATCACCCACTCTACATCCTGGTGTGGTTTGGGGGATGATGGGCAATGGATGATGGAACTTGCAGTATCTTCACTCACCTCCGGACACCACTGCGATCTTCATCTAATGACTGATGAAGACCAAACTCGGCACACAGAGCCCCCATGATCCACTCTACATTCTCTTGTGATTTGAAGGAGGATGGACCATGGATGATGGGGCTTGCAGTACCTTCACACACTTTCTGACACCACTGAGACCCACACCAATGACTGATCAAGACCTACCTTGGTACACGCAGCCCCATGACCCACACTATATCCTGGTGCAGTTTGGAGGAGCGTGGACCAATAACAATGGGACTTGCATATGGGAATTGTAGTTCATCTGCACTTACTGAACTCAGATGACATTGGATCTAGACTAAAACTGCAGCACAGACAAACAATGCCTATCTTAAATAATCCAGGCACTGCCGGGTCCCCAAGTTAGTATAATAATAAAGAATAATGTATATATTCTATAAATGAAACTGCAGATAATATAAAATATAATAAATAATAAGGTATATATTCCATAAACAAAACCGCAGGATACCCCCAGGCAGGAAGTAGCCAAGCTTGGAAGCTGCATTCAGTGCTAATCAAGGTGGCCAACTGCAACATTCACACTGGCCTCCAGCAGGCAAGAGTTCTTTCCCCCACCCTGGACATTATTCCACAGGTATCTGTCTGTCTGTCTGTCTGTCTGTCTGTCTGTCTATCTGTCTGTCTATCTATCTATCTATCTATCTATCTATCTATCTATCTATCTATCTATCTATACTCGCCTAGTTTCCAACAGATCTTACAATCTCTGAGAATGCCTGCCAACTAAACATCAGGAGAGAATGCTTCTGGAACATGGCCATACAGCCCAGAAAATGCACAGCAACCCAGTGATTCCGGCCGTGAAAGCTTTCGACAATATAATAAGAAATAATAACTTATACATTCCACAGATGAAACTGCAGATCAAAGGGAACCAAATTGGGCTTAAGAATAGCATTATGTTTATCTAAAACACATCACCTCTAGCCATTTTAGGACCTCCAGGAGGTAGGATATAGCCTTATTTCTCCATGAGCTGTCTATGGTGCTGGATCGCCATCTGTCAGGAGGGATCAGATAGTGTGCCCCTTTAAGGCGGAAGGGGTTGGACTGTATGGCCTTGGGGGTCCCTTCCCACTCTAGAATCCCACTCACCAGGAACCAGTAGAGGTTCATCAAAGTGAGGAGGAAAAGCAGGCCATTGAAGAAGAAGTAATAGGGGACGAAGACCATGGTTTGGAGGCAGGTGTGGCAGCTGGCATAGAGCACCTTGAGTGGGAACCAATAGAGACGAAACCAGAACCTGCGGAGAAAGGAAGGAAAACATTATCCTGTATCTCTATACTTAGGGGCCAGTAGCTAATCCTTTCTATCTATATACTGCCCTCTTGAGGCTGCATTTAGTTCTGAAAACATACAGATATACAAAGGTCAATGGGCTGCCTTTGAGCACTGCATACATTTATAGCTATAGGTAAGGGTCATTAACCCTTTCTCTCTACTGCCATCTTGTGGCTGCACCTGAACACTGCATACATACTTAGAGGCCAGCAGCTAATCCTTTCTATCTCATCATCTACATACTGTCTTCTTGTGGTTGCATTTATATGTAAGGGCCATTAGTCCTCTCTCTATCGCCATCTTGTGGCTGCACCTGAACACTACATACATACTTAGAGGCCAGAAGCTAATCCTTTCTTTCCCATATACTGCTCTCTCGTGGCTGCCTCTGAGCACTGCATACATACATACATTTCTAGAGACCAGAAGCTACTCCTTGCTATTTAAATACTCCCCTCTTGTGGTTGCACTTGGGCACTACATCCACACATATGTAGAGGCCAGTTGTGAGTTTTTCTATCCCTCTTCTGCCCTCTTCTGACTGCCTATAGCACTTCATACATACATATGGAGAGGCCAACAGCAATTCCTTTCTAGCTCTTTTCTCATAAATACATATCTGTGCATAAATACATATCTAGAGGTAAATAATTAATCCCTTCTGTCTCTATACTGCTCTCTTTTGGCTTACTTTGAGTACTGCGTACATTTGAAATTGTTCATTTTTGGGGCCACATCACCAAATAATAATCATAATTGACTTAGTACTTATTATTTATTGGCCTATTTATCTTACGGAGGCCGACTAACCAGCTGATGCCAAAGGAGAGGCAGCCGGCATTGGAGATCACATCGTTCAGCCGGTGGTAGACTCCGCCACGGTACTTGAAGTAGACATTCAGCTTGGTAAACTCCAGCTGGACATCACTGATGTCGTGAAGGAAAAGGACCAGGATCCCCACTCTGTGGTACCTGGAACGATCCAGAAGCCAGGATCAGAGCCCCAAGTTTAACAAAGCAAATGTAGGAAAATAAATGCCATCTTAATGAGAGACTGGAACCTGGACTTCGCTTCTGTGACTCGTTTAACCCACTGATATTCTGCCAAAAAGACGGGGAAATAAACACCTTCTTAATACCCGCTTTGGTGACCCATTTAACCTGTTGATATTTCACCAAAATAGAGCAAATGATGGGGAAATAAACATTTTCTTAATAACAAGAGACCGGAACCTGGATTTTGCTTCTGTGACTTGTTTAACCCATTGCTATTCCTCCAAATCCCCATCGCGTTTTGAGGCCCAATTCTCGAGCAACTGAATGGTTTTCTGGCACAGCGAGAGGAATGTTTATGACTGTCAATTATGAGTGTAAATGGAAGGAAAGTGTTACCTGAAAATGTAGGAGAAGGCCAGCAGCAAGAGGGTGACCACATGGTGGACGAGCATCACAACTGAGTCCTTGCGCCAGACGTCCATGTAGAGTGTGGAGTAGAGCGAGTGGACGTAGAAGCTGCACTGCAACAGGTAGGCGATGGCGATGTCCGTCGGCACCTCTGTGCCCAACTCTGAATCTGGAGAACCAGGCAGAATGAGATGGAGGAGGGTCACATTCGAATAATTCGGGGAGGGGGAAGAGTATTTATAGCATCGGGAGAGTATGCTAATACAAGTACAACCCCTGAATCCGCAGGGGATAAATTCCTGATTTTGTGACAAATTTTGTCAGATGTCGATAAATGAAATGGGGGCCCCTGATACCACAGATACGGGGTTTATAATGTAAATAAAATGGGGTGTGTCGATACCACAGATACAGGGTTCGCAATGTAAATGAAACAGGGGACTGATACCAAGGATACGGGGTGTGTAATGAAATGGGGGACCGATACAATGGATATGGGGGTCATAATGAAAAGGGACCGATGCCACTGACCCGGGGTTCGTAAAGTAAATGAAATGGGGTGCATCAATATCATGGATATGGGGTTCACAATGTAAATGAAACTGGGGGACCGATACAATGGATATGGGGTTTATAATGAAATGGGGAGACCGATACTATGGATATGAGGTTCATAATGAAATAGGGGGGCCAATACCATGGATATGGGGTTCATAATGAGATGAGGGAACCAATAAAAAAAGATATGGGACCGATACAATGGACATGGGGGTCATAATGAAACGGGACCGATGCCACTGACCCGGGGTTCGTAAAGTAAATGAAATGGGGAGCATCAATATAATGGATATGGGATTCACAATGTAAATGAAACTGGGGGACTGATACCATGGATATGGGGTTTATAATGAAACAGGGAGACCAATATCATGTATATGGGTTTCATAATGAAACAGGGGGACCGATATTATGGATATGGGGTTAATAATGAAATAGGGGGACCAATACCATGGATATGGGGTTCTTAATGAAATTAGGGAATCAATTAAAAAGATATGGGGCTCGTAATTAAATGAGACCAATACCATGTATATGGGGTTCATAATGAAACGGGGGGACTGTTACCATGTATATGGGGTTCATAATGAAATGGGGAGACCAATACTATGGATATGGGGTTCATAATTAAATAGGGGGACCAATACCATGGATATGGGGTTCAGAATGAAATGGTGGGGCTGATACCATGGATGCGGGGTTCCTAATGAAACAGGAAGACCAATACCATGGATACAGGGTTCATAATGAAACGGAGGGACCGATACTATGGATACAGGGTTCATAATGAAACAGGGAGACCAATACCATGGATACGAAGTTACAAGGAAAATGTGGGTATGGGGTTCACATTCGTGCTTTGTACGTTAAATGAAACCAGGCTCTTGGGAGGCTATAGAAAGGACTCTTGGGGGGAGCACTCGGATCTGTGAAGTGACCCTGCAAGTAAATACAAAACAAGACCCCTTCCATGTCCGTACCAACGAAGGCCGACGGGGGGTCGTGGAAGAAGGGGTACCCAGCAAAGAAGAGCAGGTAGGCGCTGTAGGACCAGGAGAGGGTGTAGAAGGCCAGTTTCCATGCGCTCTCGGGCATCTTGGCCGCATCTTTGGGGGGCAGCTGGCACCATTCGGCAAAAGGCTGCAGACAGGGAGACACGAGTCAAATCACCCATTCCGATGCCTTCCTGAGCATCCAATGCCCACAAACATTGCTTCGTTCACAGGATGTTATAAAACGGATTGCACAAAATTTCCTTCAAACTATGCGCATAATCAGGTATATATGAAACATCAACCAATTCAATATTTCAATTGAGGCTATATGTATAATCAGGTGTAATCAGGTGCTTATAATTCATTTCAAGTTTAGATTTGGGGAACCATCTCTAAGGTAACTCATTATGTATATGTATGCATATGTGAGTGTGTGTGTGTATAGATAAAAGTGTTTCTATGTGTGTGTGTGTGTATATGTATGTGTGGATGTATATGTTTATGTAAATGTGTGAGAATTTGTAAATATAATGTGTGCATCCAGCAAAGGATCACCGCCTTGTCGGGGCGCTGGAGCTTGAGCACCTCAATGATGTCATGAGCGAAACCGTGAAGGGCCACCCAAGACGGGACGGTTGTGGCAGAGAGGTCAGACCAAGCGTGATCCCTGGGGAAGGAAATGGCAAACCACTCCAGTATCCTTGCCAAGAAAACTAAATGGACCAGTACAACCAGAGATATGTCGGTATGCCATTGGAAGATGGGACTCCCAGGTCGAAAGATGGCCAAAATGCTACTGGGGAGGAGCAGAGGATAAGTTCAACTAGCCCCAGATGTGATGACGCAGCTAGCTCAAAGCCGAAAGGAAGGCTAGCGGCCGACGGTACTGGAGGTGAACGACGAATCCGATGCTCTAAAGATCAACACACCATAGGAACCTGGAATGTAAGATCTATGAGCCAGGGCAAATTGGATGTTGTTATTGGTGAGATGTCAAGACTAAAGATAGACATTCTGGGGGTCAGCGAACTGAAGTGGACTGGAATGGGCCACTTCACATCAAATGACCACCAGATCTACTACTGCGGACAAGAGGAACATCGAAGAAATGGAGTAGCCTTCATAATTAATAAGAAATTCGCTAAAGCGGTGCTTGGATACAACCCAAAAAATGACAGAATGATCTCAATTCGAGTGCAAGGAAAGCCTTTCAAAATTACAGTGATCCAAATATACGCCCCAACCACAGCTGCTGAAGAAGCAGAAGTAGATCAGTTCTATGAGGATCTGCAGGACCTACTGGATAATACACCAAAAAGAGACATTATTTTCATTACAGGAGACTGGAATGCCAAGGTGGGAAGTCAAATGATAACTGGGATCACAGGCAAGCATGGTCTGGGAGAACAAAATGAAGCGGGACGCAGGCTGATAGAATTTTGCCAGGAAAACTCGCTGTGTATAACGAATACTCTCTTCCAACAACCTAAAAGACGGCTTTATACATGGACCTCACCAGACGGTCAACACCAAAATCAGATTGACTACATCCTTTGCAGCCAAAGGTGGCGGACATCCATCCAGTCGGTGAAAACAAGACCTGGGGCTGACTGTAGCTCAGATCACGAACTTCTTATTGCCCAATTTAGAATAAAAATAAAGAGATCAGGGAAAATACACAGACCAGTTAGATATGATCTCACTAACATTCCTAGCGAATATACAGTGGAAGTGAAGAACAGATTTGAAGGACTAGATTTAGTAAACAGAGTCCCAGAAGAACTATGGAAAGAAGTCCGCGACATTGTTCAGGAGGCGGCAACAAAGTACGTTCCAAAGAAAAAGAAAACCAAGAAGGCAAAATGGTTGTCTGCTGAGACACTGGAAGTAGCCCAAGAAAGGAGGAAAGCAAAAGGAAACAGGGATAAGGGGAGATATGCCCAGTTAAATGCGCAATTCCAGAGGTTAGCCAGAAGAGATAAGGAACTATTTTTAAACAAGCAATGCATGGAAGTGGAAGAAGACAACAGAATAGGAAGGACAAGAGACCTCTTCCAGAAAATTAGAAACATTGGAGGTAAATTTCAGGCAAAAATTGGTATGATAAGAAACAAAGATGGCACGGACCTAACAGAAGCTGAAGAGATCAAGAGAAGGTGGCGAGACTATACAGAAGATCTGTATAGGAAGGATAATAATATTGAGGATAGTTTTGACGGTGTGGTGAATGAATTAGAACCAGACATCCTGAGGAGTGAGGTTGAATGGGCCTTAAGAAGCATTGCTAACAACAAGGCAGCAGGAGACGACAGGATCCCAGCTGAATTGTTTAAAATCTTAAAAGATGATGCTGTCAAGGTGATGCATGCCATTTGCCAGCAAATATGGAAAACACAAGAATGGCCATCAGACTGGAAAAAATCAACTTATATCCCCATACCAAAAAAGGGAAATGCGAAAGACTGCTCAAACTTCCGTACAGTGGCCCTTATTTCTCATGCCAGTAAGGTAATGCTCAAGATCCTGCAAGGAAGACTCCAGCAATACATGGAGCGAGAGTTGCCAGATGTTCAAGCTGGGTTTAGAAAAGGCAGAGGAACGAGAGACCAGGTTGCCAATATCCGCTGGATAATGGAGAAAGGCAGGGAGTTTCAGAAAAAACATCTACTTCTGCTTCATTGACTATTCTAAAGCCTTTGACTGTGTGGATCATAATAAATTGTGGCAAGTTCTTAGTGGGATGGGCATCCCAAGTCACCTTGTCTCTCTCCTGAGGAATCTGTACAAGGACCAAGTAGCAACAGTCAGAACTGACCACGGAACAACAGACTGGTTCAAGATTGGGAAAGGCGTACGGCAAGGCTGCATCCTCTCACCCAACCTTTTTAACTTGTATGCAGAACACATCATGCGATGTGCGGGGCTTGATGAATGCAAAGCTGGGGTGAAAATTGCTGGAAGAAACATTAACAACCTCAGATATGCAGATGACACCACCCTGATGGCCGAAAGCGAGGAGGAGCTGAGGAGCCTTCTAATCAAGGTGAAAGAAGAAAGCGCAAAAGCTGGGTTGCAGCTAAACGTCAAAAAAAACCAAGATTATGGCAACAAGAATGATTGACAACTGGAAAATAGAAGGAGAAACCGTGGAGGCCGTGACAGACTTTGTATTTCTAGGGGCAAAGATTACTGCAGATGCAGACTGTAGCCAGGAAATCAGAAGACGCTTACTTCTTGGGAGGAGAGCAATGTCCAGTCTCGATAAAATAGTGAAGAGTAGAGACATCAGACTGACAACAAAGATCCGCCTAGTCAAAGCCATGGTATTCCCTGTAGTCACCTACGGATGTGAGAGCTGGACCTTAGGGAAGGGTGAGCGAAGGAAGATCGATGCTTTTGAGCTGTGGTGTTGGAGGAAAGTGCTGAGAGTGCCTTGGACTGCGAGAAGATCCAACCAGTCCATCCTCCAGGAAATAAAGCCCGACTGCTCACTGGAGGGAAAGATACTAGAGACAAAGTTGAAGTACTTTGGCCAACATGAGGAGACAGGAAAGCCTAGAGAAGACAATTATGCTGGGGAAAGTGGAAGGCAAAAGGAAGAGGGGCCGACCAAGGGCAAGATGGATGGATGGCATCCTTGAAGTGACTGGACTGACCTTGAGGGAGCTGGGGGTGGTAACGGCCGACAGGGAGCTCTGGCGTGGGGTGGTCCATGAGGTCACGAAGAGTCGGAGACGACTGAACGAATGAACAACAACAATGTGTGCATCTCCATTGTATGCATACATACACACACATTTCTTTATATATATATACATATATATGCACATTGATCGATAGAAGGTGTGTATGTATATATGTATTTATTTATCTATATGTTCTGTCACTGGAGTACACGTGCCCCCCCCCCACTTGTGGGAAAGTTTGATTCCACAACCCCTGCTATAATGAGCTCTCCTCCGCAAATAACCTGTTTCTCCTTTATCTCACCTGAGTTTTTAATTAGTTTGTAATTAGTCTCTCTTTTAATCACTACATGTAGCCTGCCCATTTTATTATATTTTTTTTGGCCCGTGCACCTCCATTGAGCCCTCCCCTCGCTGATCCGGGAGGGGGTGAAGTGCTCCAGCAGGCCTTGCATTCTCTATCTGGCCCCCTCGCTAGTCCAGGAGGGGGCTGAAGAGCTGCTAGGCCTTTGTGTCTCCATTGGGCCCCCGTTGTGTGTGTGTGTGTATATGTATATGTATGTGTGGATGTATATGTTTATGTGAATGTGTGAGAATTTGTAAATATAAGTGTGTGCAAATGTGTATGTATCTCCACTTGTATGCATACACACACATTTCTGTATATATATATGTGTGTGTGTGTGTATACATACATACATGTGTGTTTATATATATGGGTGTGATGTGCTTATATATGTGTGTATGTATGTATATACAGATATATATGAATGTGTGCATGTTTGGATAGATAAATAGATAGATGTGTGTATGTATATATTTGTGTATGTGTATGTTATATATACACACACACACTTCTAAATATACATATACATGCACATTGATAAATACAATGTGTGTATGTATATATGTATGTATTTATATGTTTGTATATATCTATATGTGTGTATCTATATGTTTATATGTCTGTTTGAGAATTTGTATAAGTGTTTGCAAATGTGTGTGTGTATATCTCCATGTATATGCATATACGTATCTACACATATGTATGTATATAGAGATGTGTGTGTATGGATATATAGATGTGTGTGTTGATCTATATGTATGTGTATATATAAGTGTGTGCATATATCAATATACATACATACACATGTATGTATGTGTATATGTGTGTGAATATCTATATGTATGTATGTATATGCATGAGAATTTATATATATATGTGTCTGTGTGCAAATATGTATGTGTATATCTCAGTGTGTGTGTATACACACACATAGATACACACATTTGTGTATATACAGTATATGTGTGTATGATATATACATGTGTGTTTGTATATATATAGGTGTGTTTATGTGTGTATATAGGTACCATTTGTGCATATTCACAGTTGACCACACAGGGAAACTATCTATACAAACACACATACACAGACACATATACATACATCTATATA